GCCAGGATCTGTGTAGAATTTACAGTCAGGGTGAGGTAGGTAGACACGTCAGCAAAGAGTTCAATGGTCATACTAAATGTAGAGGTAGTTTAGAGCCAGGAGCAATGAACCATAGCCAATGGAGAAGGGAAAGCAAGGAGTAAAGCAGCTTTGGGAAGTCTTGATGGAGCAAATAACCTCTGAGCTGGATTTTGAAACGTGCCAGTCACAGGGGCAGGGATGCCTCTCACACACGGGGAACTGTTTGTTCAGGGTTGTGGAGGCAGGACAGCAGGCGCGTTAGAGGGGCACCAAGTGTCCGGATGCTTCTTCAGCCTTGAGTCAGAGGTGAAGAGTGGCGGGGCCACCTGGTGGCCCCAGAGAAGGTGGGAGGCAGTGGCAGGGGTCCAGGAGAAAGTAGGCAGGAAACCCTCAGGGGGCGGTAATATGCTTACTCTGCCCCTGCAGTGCCTCTACCTTCTTGCATGTTACGAGCCTCAGTGATTACTAACTGAGCTTCCTGGTAGCTTAATGACGCTGATCTATGTGTGTGAGTGTTCTGTGTAGACTACGTTGTCCAGTTCATAAAGATGCATTTGTGGCGTCACAAGGTTTCTCTCACGGACCAGCAAGTATAATCTTAACAACCTGCTTCACCCAAATAACAGATTTGGAAGATCATCTAGTCCGAGGGTCTGCAGACTACAGCCTGTAGGTCAGATCCTGACCCAGGCCTCTGTGTGTGTGTGTGTTTGTGTGCGCGCGCGTGCGCGTAGTCCATGAGCTAAGGATTGTGCATTTTTTAAGAGTTGTGAGAAAGGAGAAGAAACTATGGCAGAAACTGTTCTGGCATGAAACGACTAAAATATTTACACTCTGGCCCTTTTCAGAAAAAGCCTGCCAGACCCTGGGCTTGTCCGACTGCCTGATACAGTAATCCTTTGTACATTACGACTTGGCAAGTAATCGTTTTAATATATGCTTGAACACTTCCACTAATGGAAAATTCATTCTGTCTCTGGCCAATCTGTTTCTTATTTGGACAATTCTGGCTATTAGTAATTTGTAAAGTCGGCTGTAATTTGTCTCATTATAGCACCCTTCTGTTGGCCCTTTTTGAGGGGAAGAGAGCTATTATTTCATGTCAACATTTACTGAGCTCCTAATATATTCTAGGTGGTGTGGTAAGTGCTGAAGAAAGATGGATAACAACACGATTGTTGCTTCAAAGATCTCTTGGGTGTTATTTCTTGGAACTAAAGCAGTTGTGCTGGTCGTCTTATGTCTCTCTCATTCCCCATCTTGCCGTTGGGGTAGGACTTTTTTCTTTAATTATTTTATTGATTTCTGTATTGTTGCTCCACATGCACAAAATTCACTGAATTTTGATCACAAAATTCAAAGGGAATAGAGCCATACAGTTTAAAATAACTCCACACCTGTCTCCTGACTCTATAGCTCCTTTCTTGAGAGGCAAGCACTATTAACCCACTTCCTGTGGGGATTCGACTTTGAAGAATAGCACTACCCAAGGTTTAGGACCATTTGGACAGAAGCTTTTGGTAAATATGCAGCAGTGTTTTTTTTTTTTTTTTAATGTGGGTTTTTTTTTTTTTTTTTGAGGTTTTACTTATGTAAGTTGCAGAGTGTGACTTCGTTTTATTTTCACAAAAGCCTAAAATTTGCATCACTTTTGGGTGGTAGACGCAGCCCCAAAAGGCTTTGTATTGCCTAATCACCCATCTGCTGTTTCAGTTTAACCCTGGCTGTTAAACTGGATGTTTTGGTTCCTGCTGGGATCCTTGTTCATTACAACATTAAATCTTCATCAGATTGTTTCCTCCTTCAGTGGAAATGGCACAATCCTGTCTTGTGTAACTCCTGGCTTTCACATCCTGAATGTGATAGAAATAGTTTGGAATACAGTTGAACCACACTCCTGTTGATGCCTCTGTCAGTTTCTTTCCTGGAGTATGTCTGTCTGTAGTGTTGAAGTATGATGGAAGTCATCTTTTAACTTTCTTAGCGAAGCAGAAGCTAGAATTCTGATCTTGTGCTCTTTGGGGATATATAGGCAAGGCTTAATTAATTTTCATGAAGCAGGTGATGTTTGGATGTGGGTTAGTTACACATAAATGACTTTGCACCTATAAATTACTGCTCCTTCCAGAATTCTATTTTGATCATTTCTTCTTCTTCTTCTATTTTTTTCCCCAAATGCTTATTTATATTTGAGAGAGAGAGAGAGAGAGAGAGAGAGAGAGAAGAAAGGGGCAGAGAGAGGATGCAGGGCTTGAACTCACAAGCTGTGAGATCATGACCTGAGCTGAAGTCAAACACTTAACTGCCCCTCTGATCATTTCTTCTTAAATCTTCCCTTCTGGCTTAAGGAAGATGGCAGTGTAACATAGACGTATAGGTTTCTAAGCGATACATTTATACTTGCTTATCCTACTTAGATGTTTCCAGCAAATTCCCCATCACGTGTGGCTGCTGCTGCGTAGGACCTTTCTGTTTTCTTAGCCTGTCAAGCAGGAGTTTAGTGCTGAATACCAACCACATCCTCTTGTGAAACAGGCTCTTGGGTTCTGTCTGAAATTTCTCAAAGATCAAATAAGTCAGAAAATATTTGAAGGATGTGCCTTTTATGCAGATTACTTTCTTAGTATGCCTGTCGGTTATCTTCTAAGTGGTCTTCCTGAATCACTTTTTCTCAGCTACTGATGTGTTGTACAGAAGAGTTTTCTCTTGTTTCTGGCGCCGGTAAAATTCCGTCTTGATGACCTCAGCACATCATCAAAATGATGGTGAGTTACTGTTAACCTTTAAGAGTCAGTTGTGGATGACTAAAGCACTTAGGGGCCTGATGCCCCATCCCATGGAGGAATTCAGACATCCGTTTGTACCACTGTCTGCACTATGTTGATTTCTTCCACACTGGATGATTACTCTGGCCATGACCTTTTTCTTTTGACTCTTTTGGAGAGGAGGTCAGTATGTAAATGTTTTCTCAAAATAGTTACTGTTTTTAGCTTATGTGGGGCTGATGAATAATATATAGGCTCTGAAAAGGGGTGTCTTCTAGTCTAGTGATGAGAGTTGGGGCTTTGAAGCCAGTCAACCTGGGTGACAGTCTCAGCTCTTCTGTTTCCTCACTGAGTGACTTTGGGCAAGTTACTTGATATTTCGGTGTCTCCATTTCTGTTCTGTACAGTAGGCATAATGCAGCCGCTTTGGGGTTGTCCTGAGATAATGTGTAGAATGTTTAGTGCTTGGCACAGAATAAACATGCAATTAGAACAGTTACTACTACTGCTGCTGTTATTTAAAAAGTTTAAAAAAAAAAAGGCATGATCAAAAAAGCACGTGTGATTCATGATGGTAGATGCTGTAATGGAAGTTTTCATCTGTTGTTACGGAAAAGGGAGCCATTGATGCCCTCTGACGGCGGGCATTGATGAGAGCTTTGTAAAGAATCTTAGTCGACGGGAAGGAGTCTTCTTGGTGGAGGTGGGGACGTTTCCTAGGGAAAGGTGAAGGGCTGGGAAACTCTCTCGGAAGTAAAGCCAGTAAGGTTTTGTTTGTTTAAACAAGGGAGCCCCCTGCACAGATCAGATCTGGTGGCAACGTGACCACTTGTTTGGAGAAGACAGGGACAGAAGGCAGTGACCTGTGGGCTTGTTACCACAGGAGCCAGGGTGTGAGATGGTGGGCCTGACATGTCACGGAGAGGATGGAGAGAGGAGAGGCTGACTTGGACAGGAAGCACGAAATCGCATGTTTGGAATATGGAGTTTGGGTCCTGGTCCTCCCCCCGCCTCCACTGTCCTACCTGTATGTCCTCCTGTGGACTTCTTCCCTCTCTGAACCTCAGCTCCTCCTCTGTAAACCTGGCACTGTCACTATGGGCTTTTCGGAGGAGTACATTCAGGGGCACCCCCCTGCTGCGGGGCCTGGACCTGCTCACTGCCGAGTAGCTGTTGTCTTCGTCTCACTCCAGAGGCCTGCTTAAGGTTGAACCTCTGGCGATTAGTGATTCACTGAACGCGCGAGAGGAGAATTGATGCCTTTGAGGTTTCGACCTTGGACCTTGGTGGTACTATTATGTAAACTAGGACATGCAGGAAAAGGGGCAGAATTTTGCAAAAAGAAATGTTCAGTTTGGATCTGTCAGACTTGAGGTGTCTGCCGCGTCCTGGCTTTAGTGCTTGAGCTGCCGAAGGAGCACGTCCAAGTCCTGCCTTCAAAAAACGCTTGTCCAGTTGGCCCTTGGACACCTTGAGGGACAGGGTGCTGACCCCTCTCCGTGCCAACTTTGGACTCCCCCAAATCCACGTATAACTTTTGACTCCCCCAAAACTTAACTACAGATTATGTATATTTCTCTTAATTCCAAAATCGATCAAATTGGGAACACTGGAAGCGAGGTAATAATCTTGGCTTGAAACTCAGGCAGTAGTGTGTGAACGATTGTCATCTCGTGTGACCCTTTATATGTTCCGCTGCACAAATATCACTCTGTCGGGTCACAGGGATGGACAGTGATGGACAGGATGGAAAGCGAAGAGACCTTACGCTTCTGCTTTTTGGAAATATTGAGTTCTCTAGGGTTGTACTTCTCCAGCGGGGGGAGGTGCACCCCTGGGAGTGTGTGCAGGGCTAGGGGACTTCTAGTGTGTGCACGCCTGATTGCTGGGCGGGGCAGGGGGAGGCTGCAGGGGGGAGAATGGAATAGTAAAAGAGATAGTAGAGTAAGAGGCAAATTTCCAATGTATTTGAAAGATAAAAGATGTCAAAAAAAAAAAAAACACACAAAAAAAACAAACCCAGCAGGCCCTGTGGTTAGGTGGGCCAGAAACTTCTTCCTTCTCCTCAGCTGGGGGTGCTGTGTGCTGCTGGCATTCAGAGCTCTGACAGTTGGCTTTGTGCTTCCACCCGGCTGGGCCTGGGTTTGGTACTTGTGAAGTTCTCCAGGGTCACTCCGGAGGGCACACATTTCTGAGACTGTGATTATGTCGAAGGAGACTTGTGCACCGGTCAGACCGACTTGAGCAAGAAAGGAAGATGCACAGAGGTGAAGGCCAGGAAGGCCGCAGCAAAAGGACTTCACCCCGGGTGCTGCCGGGAGGCTAACCTTGGCACCCCAGGCGCGTTGCTCAGGGTGGTTTCCCGTCCTCTCTTCAGGTAGCCTGCCTCGCTCCCATCGTTTTCTGTTTGTTTTGATTAGGCCTTATTATAAGTGCTTTTCTTTCTCACCACATTTGACGCCATTTTGCTGTGTTCTGTTTTGTTTTCTGGCCGGCAGGAAGCGATGGCCGCAGCTCCGGGGGACCCCGGGCTCTCCAAGCTACAGTTCGCTCCTTTTAGCAGCGCCTTGGACGTTGGCTTCTGGCATGAGTTGACCCAGAGGAAGCTGAATGAGTATCGGCTGGATGAAGCCCCCAAGGACATTAAGGGCTATTACTACAATGGTAGGTCATCTTCTGTGACCTTCTCTGCCCTCCGGAATAGGGTCAGCTTTCCTTCAGAAAGGGACGCTCTTGTCCTTTATCATTAATGATCTTCACCGTTTTCTATTTTTACTCCTTGTCTTTCTTTCGTTCTGTAAATTTATTTATTTACTGATTTTTATCTGAGTGTGATTCACCTACAACGTTAGGTTAGTTTCAGGTTTACAACACAGTGATTCCCCATCTCCTGTAGCGGCCGTCGGTCACCACGCAGCATGGTGACAGTAACGTTCGCTGCGTTCCCTGCGCTGCACCTTTTGTCCCCATTTTACCTCCTGACTTTCGACCCAAGTTCATTTCCACTTCTTTTCCTCTTGTGGGGGAAAAGAAAGAGAGTCCTAAGACCCCTTTATCCAAAGAATGAATACCGATTACTTAGAACTGCTGAGGAAAGAGATTAGAAATCATTTTTCCCAGTGAATCTTTTTTTTTTTTTTTTTAATTCTTGACAAATTCCTGAAATTCAGAAAAGCTCTGGCACCTTCTGCTAAGTCCCTGTTGAGTATGGATGACCAGAATTGCACAGGGCACTTTGGGCCCAAGAAGAAGAATACAGTTATTCACAAATGTTTTAGTTATGAATGCTGCTATTACTGACTCATAATGGAAAATGTGATAATGCTTCTGTCCAGGTGATTCTCATGGGCTTCCGGCTCGCTTAACATTGGAGTTCAGTGCTTTTGACATGTGAGTATTTTTTTTTTTTTTTTTTTTTTTGCTTAAAATCTAAACGTGTTTGCTTTTTGTGAGGAGTGAGCATTCTTAACTTTGCACATAGATGGACCACAGGGAGAACTGGGGGAGCCCCCGGGAGGTGGGCCAGGTCCTCGATTCTTTTGTCCCCGCCATGACACAGAGACAAGTGTTAGATGCTTAGGACTATCAGCTATATATTTTTTTCAGCCGATAATTGTCAAAGCCTGTTAGGTGCCTGCCAAGTATCATCTAGATTAATTGAGACTTAGATAATATCCCACTTGCTTTTGATTTTAGTTAGTATTTTGTGATTCTTTATTGGTACTTCTTGACTTACTCCTTTAGATGCTTATCCATGGGCATCAGTGGACATTTTTTAGGCTACTTCTGTATGCAAGCCACTGTGTAAAGCATTATATTATGGGAATGTATGAAGAAATATGACATATCCCCTCAAAAAGCCTTTTTTCCCTGGTTGTGGGCCATGGGGAGTGCTGGAGAGAAGAGAGACATTTATTAACTTAATTATATGGGTGTTTTCACCTACATAATCCCTTCAGACCTGCCAGACGTGAATGAGCTCTCTTTTCTTCAAACAAGGAAACAATGGGTCAGAAGGTAAAGTGGCTTGCCCAAGGTCACATGTGGCTAAATTTAGGAAGCAGGGATGGGAGAAAAGTGAAGTATATAGCTGGGTCATGTTATCTCCTACAGAGATAGAGCTGGAGGTGGATACAATTTTAAGAGGAGGTACGCTTGGTTTAGAACATGTTAAGTTTGGGATGGCATCATCTGGTAAAATGCCCCAGAGGCATGGGGATCGAGGAGGAAGGGTCCTCGTGTGGAGGAGCTCATGAGGCCGTAAGAGAGGAAGACTGCTGTGTAAGAAGAACAAAGGCCCAAAACAGTGAACGGATCTCACCAGGGAGTCCGCAAAGGAAGACACAGAACTAGCAAAGTAGGCAACAGTTATCACAGAAGAAGAACAGCCAGAAAAGCATTACGGAAACCAAAGATGTATGCTTCCAGGAAGGGAAGAGATGATCAACAATATCAGAAGCAGAACGGTCAGAGTTCACTGCAAGCGTCACTGGATTTGTTGATGAGGCCCTTTGCAATTCTTAAGAATTCACTTTCCCAAAGTGGATTTTACACAGAAGGGTGGAGCAGAAACCACGATGAAGGGCTATAAGACAATTAAAGGTGGAGAATGGCAAGTTTCGGAGTGGTCAACATTTTCTGCTTTCTCCATGTTAGGAGTGTCAAGTTGCAGGATATGAGGAAGGCCAAGCTGTCTTTCTAAGGACTGCTTGGCTTTTCAGAGTAGCAGTAGTCCAAGGTTAGGGGGTTCCCAGTAAAATATCCCTAGAATAGTTATCTATCTATCTATCTATCTATCTATGGCTTTTTAAGTTTTTAATTCCAATTACTGTACAGTGTTGCATTCATTTCAGATATACAATATAGTGAGTCAACACTTCACACATCACCTGGTGCTCACCATGCCAAGTGTACTCCCCCATCCCCATCACCCATTTAACCCATGCCCTTAACCCCTGCCACTCTGGCAACCATCAGTTCTCTATAACTGAGAGTCTGTTTCTTGATTTCTCTCTCTCTCTCTCTCTTTTATCCCCTTTGCTCATTAATTTTCTTTCTTAAATTCCACATATGAGTGAAGTCACATGGTATTTGTCTTTCTCTGACTTATTTTCACCTTGCATTATATATTCTTTAGCTTCCATCCATGTCGTTGCAGATGGCAAGATTTCAGTCTTTTTTTATGGCTAAATAATATTCCATTATATATATATTACATATAGACATACCACATCTTCCTTATCCATTATATTCCATTACACACACACACACACACACACACACACACACACACCACATCTTCTTTATCCATTCATCAATCAATGGACACTTGGGCTGCTTCCATAAGTTGCCTATTGTAAATAATGCTGCTGTAAACATAGGATGCATGTATTCCTTGGAAATAGTATTTTTATATTCTTTGGGTAAATACCCAGTAGTGTGACTGCTAGATGGTAGGGTAGTTCTATTTTTAACTCTTTGAGGAGCCTCCATACTGTTTTTCACAGTGGCTGTACCACTTTGTATTCCCACCAGCAGTGCATGAGGCTTCCTTGTTCTCCATATCCTTGCCAACACCTGTTGTTTCTTCTGTTGTTGATTTTAGCCTTAGGATGTATTTTTTAAATCTCCAAAACTCAATACATTTGATTCCTATATCTCAAATTGCAAAATATTACATAATATAAATCCAAGATGATATTAGCTCTTTCCTCGATACCATATAAATCAGAGATTTGATATACTGAGATAAATAACACTCTATACTTTGAGGGGAAAGATGGCTTAGAATAAATAAAATGCAGTCTTGATAAAAAGATTTTAGCCTTTATACCTTTAAAAGGTATGTGTTGGTGTTTCTTGTTCTCTTCAGAGCTATCTTGCTCTGTAATTGCTTGTCAGAACACATCAAATCCTGGTAATCTATCTCTTGTTTTGGTAGAGACTAACTTACCTTTGAAGCAATTGTAAGATAATAAGGGAAAGAACCAGCAAAGTGCAAACATTAAATTATCTGAAGATGATCAAGGGGGTATATTATCAGTGTGGTATACACCATGTGCATATACAATACTCCAATGTGATCTGGAGAATCTAACATTCATTGCAAGCTAGACTTGTTCCCCCTTTATTCTGACACTAGACTGAAGGTTTTTCCTTTAAAGATTTTAATAATTTTATCCTTTGGAACAATTAGTTATAGAAAAAGCTGCTCCCAGAAGTGAGGTTTGATCAGATAACGAAATCCAAACATCTTACACTTGAGTCATCCAGAAAGTTTAGCTGAGGGAGCTAAGGAAATCTGTGATCACGCAGGTATGGCTTTCACATGAATTGCTCGATTTGACTGGTCGTTATTTTTGCACTGTGGTGTTGACTACTCCCGGTGTGTGAGGCTGTGCGGCAGGCCACTGGGGAGATGAGTGGGGCTGAGATGCAGCCCCGGTGGTGGAGCTGGACCTGGAGGGCCTGCTATCTACATTGGATTAACTTTGTTACCTAGAGTAAGTCTTTTTAGTCTCCCCCTCTTCACTTTCCTTATCTTGAGCTCTGGGCTTCTTTTTTTTTTTTAATTTTTTTTAATGTTTTATTTATTTCTAGGAGAGAGAGAGACAGCGTGAGCAGGGGAGGGTCAGAGAGAGAGGGAGATACAGACTCTGAAACAGGCTCCAGGCTCTGAGCTAGCTGTCAGCACAGAGCCCGACGCGGGGCCCGAGCCCACGAACCGCGAGATCATGACCTAAGCGAAAGTCGGACGCTTAACTGACTAAGCCACCCAGGCGCCCCTCAAGCTCTGGGCTTCTGATGTTCCTTCTGGTTTTAAAAGTCTGAGATTTTCTGAATCCCCCTGTCTTAGGATGATGGGTACTTTGCTCTGAGTGTTTGTGTCCCTGCCAACATGTTGAAAACCTAATGCCCAAAGTCATGGTGTCAGGAGGTGGGGCCTTTGAGAGGAGGCTACATCACAAGGCTGAGCCCTCATGATGGGATTGGTGCCTATAATAGACCCCCCATGGGGCTGACCCGCCCTTTCCACCCCTTGATCGAGACTTGGGCTGTCTGTGACTGGAAGAGGTCACCCGAATCTGACTATGCTGGCACCTTAATCTTGACTTCCAGCCTCCAGAACTGTGAGAAATAAATTTCTGCCACCTGGTCTGTGGCATTTCGTTATTGCAGACCAAACAGACCAGGGCAGCTGGGGAGTTTAATGAAAGTGCTTGGGGCTCCACAGAAGAAAGGAGCTCTTCATATCCAAATTATTTTCATTATTAATCCTTATTTTTATTGCCGTACATTTGCTTGGTTTGTAGGGCAAAGCTTTATAAATGTATTCATCAGACACTGACTGAACACCTCTTCTAAGTGCAGGATGTATAAGTGTTAGGAAAACAAAGACTTAGGGAACACAGAGCTCTGGATAGAGGTGGAAAACAGCTATTTGCACTGTGGTGTGCTCTGTGCTGTAATGTGAGGAGGCAATGGTTATTTCCGAAATACGTATCGAATGCTTCCCCTGTGTTGTAACAGTAGAATGTGGCGGGCCCTGGGCACGCAGAACAGAGCAGGACACAGCTGACTGGGTGACGGGCCTAGGACTCGTTTGTAGATGCTGGGCCGATCTCAGCTTTGCGTAGCCCCAGATGAATCCCCTCTCCTTGGAGTCTCCAGAAGCCTGATGGGTCTCTGCCAGCAGTTAGCACCCTAAGATCCTCCTCTCTACAGTGTGTTAGGGTAGTGGCCAAGTAGTATTTCGTCAGGCACCAACTGCCTTGCACCGGCGATTACTCTTCACATTTTGGGGTAGACCCAAAAATGTGATGGCCCAACACAAAGGAGGCTTATTTCCTGCCTGCTTAATAGTCTGGCGCTCTTTCTGTACGGCTCCATCATTCTGGAAGGCTTGCCTTTGTGTGCCACTTAAAACTGAATTGTTGGGGGGGCACCTGGTTGGCTCAGTCAGTCGTGTGTGCAGCTCTTGATCTCAGGGTCATGAGTTCAAGCCCCACATTGGGTGTGGAGCCTACTTAAAAATGATGGGGCGCCTGGGTGGCTCAGTTGGCTAAGCATCTGACTTTAGCTCAGGTTGTTATCTCACAGTTTGTGAGTTTGAGCCCCGCTCTGTACTGACAACGTGGAGCCCAGAGCCTGTGTCTCCCTCTCTCTGCCTCTCCTCTGCTCCCGATTGCTCTCTCTCTCTCTTTCTCAAAAATAAACATTTTTTTTAAATGGAAAAAAAGGCAAAAAAAAAAAAAAGCAAAATAACCAGAATCGTTACTTTATGTCTCCAGGCAGACATGCATCCCTTCACGTAGGCTAATTGGGAGGAGTGTGAGGCCTGGCCTGTCTTTTTTTTTTTTTTTTTTTTTTTAAATGTTTTATTTATTTCTAGGAGAGATAGAGAGAGACAGCTTGAGCAGGGGAGGGTCAGAGAGAGAGGGAGTCACAGACTGAAACAGGCTCCAGGCTCTGAGCTGGCAGTCAGCACAGAGCCCGACGCGGGGCTCGAACCCACGAACCGCGAGATCATGACCTAAGCGAAAGTCGGACGCTTAACCGACTAAGCCACCCAGGCGCCCCAGGCCTGGCCTGTCTTATAAGGAAGACTGGGAAGCAGTGCCCGGCTATGGGCCACACATATCTACTCCATTTCTGTTTAAAAAGGGAAGAACAGACTTTGGTGGACATTCTCTGTATATATGTGAAAACTGACTCATTAAAAAAAAGTTTTCCTTTCTCTGGGCTTTCCCTTGAGGAACATTCATCTTTGTAGCCCTCAGAAATATTTTCTTTTCTAAGCCTCAAGTTGGACTTTGTTAGAGAAATAGAAGGCATAGGCTCTTGCCCTAAAAAAAAAAAAAATACTTTAAAAAATAGTTAAGGAATGTAAGACTCAGGCAAAATCATCTGCGTGGGACCCAGGCTCGCTCTTGCTCTGTGACCTCATTAGCCCCTAACACGGATCCGATGTGTGCAGTTGCTCGGATAACTCTTGAAATCGATTACAAGCAGTCAAAATGCATGGCTGTCAGAATGGGATTGTGGTGTGGTTGATGGATGGACACCAGGGGACTCTGTTAGAGCGTGTTGCAAACAGAAACTCACTGGGACGCCTGGGTGGCTCAGTCGGTTAAGCGTCTGACTTTAGCTCAGGTCATGATCTCACAGTTTGTGGGTTCGAGCCCCGTGTCCAGCTGTGTGCTGACAGCTCAGAGCCTGGAGCCTGCTTCTGATTCTGTGTCTCCCTCCCCACTCCTGCTCTATCTCTCTCTCTCAAAAATAAACATTGAAAAAAAATTTAAAAACAACAACAACAAAAAGAACAGAACCTCACAGATGATTACGGAAAGCAGGAGGTAATATGTGTGCCCCCGGACTGAGTAGGACGTCCTAGGTCTCCAGGGCATGTGGAGCAGAGATTCCTCCAGGTGTGGAAAGCAGCCTCAGTCTTTCTTTTTGGGGGGTTTATCCCGTCCAGGCCACCACCCTCCCTGTCTGTCCTGGATGCCCTGGCCACATGCCTGCCTTTGGCCAGGTATTAATAACAGGTGCAAACCAGCTGCAATACTTTCCTCAGTAAGCACCGTGAGACTTAGTGAAGTGAAGGCCAAGTTTCTAGAAGTAGCATCCCCAGGCAGGCCTTTCTAAGATCAATCCTTTACCTGGTTAGACTACACATCATTGTGAATTCACTGTTGGCTTTAGTATATGGGGAAGATTTCTAATTCTGATCTCGTAGCAGCTTTATTGAGATATAATTTATATACTGTAAAATTCACCCTTTTAAAATGTATAATCCAGCAGTTTTTAGTGTGTTCACAAGGTTGTGCTGCATCTGTCACCGGTTCCAGAACGTTTTCATCATTCCGGAAAGAAAGCCTATGCCCATTCGCAGTTTCTCTACATTCTTCCCTTCTCCCACCCTTGCACCCCTCCCCCACCCCCTGGCCTGGCAGCCACAGTCTGCCTTCTGTGTATGGATTTGATTATTCTGGACATTTCATATCAATGGGATTGTAGGAAACTAAACTAATATGTATCTGGGACCCAGGATTTGGACCAAATTCTCTTGTTTCCAAGTCCGGGGCTCTTTCCACTCCTCATCTGAGCCACCTCTGTGCGGAACAAGTGACTCAAACCTGGAGAGGTTGGCAGAGTGGCTTTCCCTCTCACTACCACCTCTTAAATTTGTTTCCTTGGCCACCTCCCCTGGTGGCGCTTTCCTCATGAAAAGTTCTTCTCCTTTGTAGCTGTGGCTTGTCCTCACTGGTTCACTGCATGAGCACTGATGTTCTTGGAGCCTGGCCAGCATGCTGGCAGTTGCTCGGATGCTTGCGATGACACTTGGACATTTGACACTGCGTTCACACACCTGGGACCCTCGGGCCCTTAGGAAGGAGGGTCCCTTCCTCTTGTGCTTGTATCACATAAGCTCAGAGCTTCCTTCCTTTGGTCTCAGCGGTGATTTCATAAAGCTGAGTCTGAATGTAGAGGGCCTAATGTACTGACTGCCATGCTTCCTTCCTCCTCCCTGCAGGCCGAGCCTGGCCCCTTTGTGATTTCTCTTCTCCTTAAGACGGTCTTTGATGTCCTCCTCTCACCTGGATGAAAAAATATTTTATCAGAGTAACATTGTAAGAACAACCAAGATTTGCTGACTTGTCACCCTCCAAGGGAAGGCTCTGACTGTGGAAAGTTACTTTTTTCCCAGGACTTGACATTTGGGCCCCACAAATAGTGTTTGGCAGACCCCCTCGTCCCCCCCATGGCACCCCTCCACACCTGCTCTGGGTTTTGATCTTTTCTGCTTGGAGCCCTTGCGAACCCAATCTTACACAGACTCCAAGGGAAGCAACATAACAGCTACCTGTCAGTGCAGTGCAATGCACTCTCTGCACTAGCTGTAATTGACAGCACCGTTTGGCCTCCGTAACCTGTGAGACACAAGTTAATCATTTCCAAGAAGAGACCAGATGTTTCCACGCCTGAGTTTGTATTCGGAATTAACCCGTCTTCTGCTCCCCTGAGTTTGATTACTCTGAAGAGTATAAGGGGACAGTGTAGAGTATGACACCCCTGTGACGCAACAGGCTGGTAGGCAGCCCAGGTATGACACGTACTGTCCGTGTGACTCGGACGACCCCCAGGAGTTTGCTTAGCAGCAGCTCTGCATGGAACCTGTGTGGGCTGGGGAGGTCTGGGTGCAGTTGTAAGAGGGACACAGGTTCCCTGCCTGCAGGGAGCCTGCTGTCGTCTAGTTGGGTGTATATGGCAGTCAGTCTTGGAGACGGTCTGAGACGGGATGCTCAGTTTCCCGTGCCCGCCATCATCAGTGAAGATGGGAGGGGCCTCCTGGAAAGGGAGGGTTTGCAGCAGGGCCTTGAAGGGGGGTTTGAGTGTGGAATAGGCAGTAGGCAGCCCAGTACCTTGGAGTCAGCTAGTTCTGGCTTTAGATCCCAGCTCTGCCTATGTTTGTGCGACCTTAGGCAAGTTACTTAAAGTTTTAACCAGAAGAAAAGGCCCTTAAGAGAATTCAAACCTTGTGTGGTTCTTGGCACAGGAGAAGCTCAGTAAATGGTGATTCCCTTTTGGGTTAAAGATGGGAAAGAGTGAAAACCAGGAAATCAACTTATACTGCAGGAGGGGCAGGGGAAGAACACCATGCCAAGAGATCAGGGTCAAGGGAACATAGAGGCTGTGTGTGTGTATGTGGTGCCTGTTTGTAGTTCTTAAGCGAGGATACTTAAGCGAGGATCCTCTTTTCCCAGAGAGATGTGCGGCTGACCTCTGGGCCCTGCAGAGCGCTGTCCTTTGTGTCCCACTGCTGTCCCCACTGTGCCTGCCTAACCGTGTTTCTCCCGTGTCCAGGAGTGCTCCCACGCCAGCCCACTGCTGCCCGGCTGTTGGAACGCTCTTTAACACCAACACGCTCGAGGCTTTCAAGGCCGCGGATAAGAAGCTCCTTTTGGAACACGCAGCAGACGAGGTTAGCCGGGAAGAGATGCTGCACGTGTTCTGTTTCCCCCCGTCTGTCGTCGGTACTCGAAGGTGGTCGTGGGCTTTGGCTTATTTCCCCAGCTCGCCTGCGTCGACGGGAAGGTCGGGGAGAAGACATTCAGGCTTGCAGCTGGGGAGCGGCCGGAATTTCGTGGTGGGGCAGTTGAGAAGAGTCTCGCTGTTGCTATCTAACCAGCATTTTGCAGCAGCTTGTCCTGTCCCTGAGAGTCCTGTGTCTGCGTGGCTTTGGCTCCTCTGTTCTTTATGCCCCTTGGCTCTCCAGTCCTAAGCCCGGTAATGCTCTCCGAAATGATCGTATAGTCTCTCCAGTATACTAAGGCTAAGTCTAGACTGTTCTGTCTAATTTACAAGGCACTGTGGCCTGGCCTCTGTGGTCTCTGTGGCTTTTCTCTCCGTAACTCTTGCCCTCACCTTCTCTGACCCTGTCCCAGCAAATCACTTACGATTCCTCCACCCACTCTGGTTCTCACCTCTGCCCTTGGCACATGGCGTTTGCTCTGCTGGGAGTGTCCTTCCCTTACCTGTTCATGGCCGAGTTAGTGTGAGGATTTAAAATGGTCCGACAGCTTCTCCCTGTCCCCTCTAAGCCACTTCGTCGAGTGGTCTTTGCAAAAGAGTAGTATGTATGTGGGTGGCGTGGTCAGAGAAGGAAGTCTTCTGCCTCGGGTGTCCCTTGCATCCCTCCAGGTGAATATAGCTTGGGACCTGGGTGATGACAGCTGTCCTTGGCCTCCGCTCTGGCTGCACAGTTAAAAGGCTGTCTCCACGGAGTTGGGTCAGGTCCTCATCCAGTATCAAAAACCACAGACGGCTCCTCACGGAAATCCTACCCCTTGTGCAGGGCTCAGCCTTCCCCCCCATCCACACTCCCCGGCAGTTCCCGCCCCTTCAGTTTATCAGGAGTGGGGCCTGCTCTTCGCTGCTCCAGCTCCTCCGAGGTGATCATGTCAATAGCAGTAAATTCTCTTTGCTTATTTCCCTCTTCTACCCAGTGGCTCCCGTGGGTGCAACTGTGCGTCTTGCTTAGTGACACAAAGTGGAGCAGCTAATCTTAGCGACTCGAGCATCTTGTGATCAACAGCTGCAGACCAATGTCAGCTTCTGCTTCTGGTCACAGTGCTTGCTGAGTGTGCACCAGCTCGTCATTCTCTCTCCTTCGTGTGTCAGGGCAAACAATCCCAAGCAGCACTTCCAGAAATCCGCTGTACCGAGTTCCCAGAGCCCCTCCCTGGTCCTTCCCCTCCCACCTCCCCCGCCCCCCCCCCCCCCCCCCCCCCCCCCCCCCCCCCCCCCCCCCCCCCCCCCCCCCCCCCCCGGGTCTCTGAATCCTTTTGAGGTAGCCCGTCCTCCCTGGTGGTGCATTAACACACTTCCACCTGTCTCGCTCACCGGACCCAGAGCTTCTTNCCCCCCCCCCCCCCCCCCCCCGCCCCGGGTCTCTGAATCCTTTTGAGGTAGCCCGTCCTCCCTGGTGGTGCATTAACACACTTCCACCTGTCTCGCTCACCGGACCCAGAGCTTCTTGAGGGTAGGGACTGTGTCTTTTATTCTGTAATGCTGATGTGCCCGGTAGATGATGGGCAGTCAGTAAGGATTTGCCAGAGGAAATCATGGAGGCACGAAAATGGTGTGGTGGCCTCCTCGGATGCAGAGTGGTGCTGAGAGAAGGCTTCTGGGTTCTCTCCACTTCCTTGGGCCCCGCAGGGAGTGTGGCTGGCCGAGGGGCCGTGCATCGTGGCCGGTGTGAGCTCACTTGCCCTTTGCTGCGGGGGTGAGTGGTGTGAGGCCTGGAGGAGAGAAGAGCTCGGGGCCTCTCCCCTCTGTGCCTCACTCGACAGGGTGGAGAAGCTCCGAGATGCTGGGGAACCTGGCCTGACCCTTCTCTTTGTCCTGGCAGATCTGGGAAGCCATAAAATCGGGCGCTGCCCTCGAAAACCCTGTCCTCCTCAACAAGTTCCTCCTCCTGACTTTTGCGGTAGGTAAACGGAGTCTCGGTTGCGTGCATGGCTGCGGTGCCGGCTGAGCCCCGCGCGCTTCTCCCCGAGGCCGCTGCCGGGTGTCGTTCACGGCACGGCTGCGCAAGACACGCTTATCCAACTGGTGGCCCGAAGGTGCTGGCGCTCATCCCCGGCGCAGGATTAACTCCTTCTTACTGGTCTTGGGTCCCACATGGTTTGTGTAACACAGTGACCCAGGCCCTGTCACTCAGGACACGGTCAGATCAGCTTCAGGGAGCCGTGCTTCTTTGTTGCTCACGCTCCTTCCGACGCAATCCCGTGGGGCGCTGTGGCTGGGCCCATCCCCATAGGAGAACGATGACGCCCCGGGGATCCCATCTGTCCTCCAGCGGTGTCTGGACTAGAGCGTTCACATTGCTCTACTCGGCCTGTCCACACAGCTGTGGTTCATTAGGAAAGAAAAACGTTTTGTGTCCATGTAACATCTGCTGCCTAGGGAAGTAGGGGGAGGACCAGGTCTTGGTGACGGGTGCTGTGGGGAAACGTCAGGGCTGATGATCGAGATCCGAGCCCCCCGCCCCCCCACAGGCACATGCACACACTGAACACGCGTGCATGTAGGTGTGTGTACACCTATATGTACATGGGTGTATGTCTATATATATCCACATATGAAATGATTTTAGCCTTTATAAGTAGGTTGACTATATAATATTCTGTCAAGTGTATCTTCTATAGATTCTAGGTTGTTTCTAATATTCACTATTTTATAAAATGCTGCAGTGAGCAATATTGGCCACACTGATTTTTTTTTCCTGTTCATTTTATTTCTTTAGGAGAAATTCTCTGGGGAAGGCATATAAACACATCGATGTTGAGGTGTACCATGTGCACTGTTTTACCAGCTTTATCAGTTTTGGATATTAATCCTCTTCCCCACATCCATCCATCCATCCATCCATCCATCCATCCATCTATCTTCCTTCCCTCCTTCCCTCCCTCCCCCCTCCTTCCTCCCCTCCTCCCTCCTCTCTCCTCCACTCCCTTCTTTCTTTTGCTAAGTTATAGGTCTTGCCTTTCTTGCTGCCCCATGAACTAATCCTGTTTCTTCTGAATGCTGCCTGATATGCTGCCCAAGGCAAAGGAGAGAATGATAAAAGTCCTACTGAAGGCCGTGCCTGAGGGTGGCCATCTATCTATAAGGAGCACATTTCCTAACACGTTATGATGCTTTCTGTGTAATAGTGGGGGCGATAGAAAAATGTTTAAATTCTCCATGAGATTACTAGCTGTAATTTGGCATGAATAATTTGAATTGTCTGTAAATGTGAGCGGGTTTTCTAGATCTGCTACTAAGAGAGAGATAAGTGGTGCTAGTTAAAGATTTCTGGGTTTGTTACTTTAACATCAATGTATTTTCTGTACTGAGAATTCAAGTTAGTAGAATCTGACAATTTGCATTTGATGAGAAAAATAACATCAGCTCTTAGTTAAAGTTTTAAGAGTTAGTGTGTGTATTGGCCCTGTTGCCCTTTTAACTGACCATTCTTGGCCTACCTTAAAAAAAATTAAAAGTCTCTGTCTTTTAAGATCCTCAAATACAAAGGGCTTTATGTTTAATTTAATTGAGGTCCTTTGTATCCTGAAAAGAATTCTAAGAAATTCAAGCCTTTTGACTTTTGAAGAGGATCTGATAAAGCTTCTTAGAAATTATAAAGTCCTTCATCTTGAATTGTTTAACCTTTGACTAAAGATCAGTTATGACAAATCATTTAAGTACAAAGAAAAGAGTATAATCTCTGGAGGTATTTTTTGCTTTTCTTTCTGCTGCTTTTAGGATTCAAAGGAACAGGCACTTCATTCATTTCAATTGTGTAGTTTGTTTTGCTGTTGTCAAAAGGGAATTTGTTGTCAGTTGATCGATTAATGGCAGAATTAGAGATTGGAATCTATAATCTACGTGACTTTTCTCGCGTAGACACACGTTTATATATACATTTATTTTTATTTAAAGAGTTATCTAGTACGATTTCATTTATATGAAAAGCCCAGAATGGGCAAATCCATAGAGACAGAAAATAGATGAGGGGTTGCTAGGGGTGGGGGAGGGGGGAATGGGGAGTTCTGTGAGTGGGTATTTCTAACAAACTAGTTGGGGGGGGGGTGCTACTATTGGAGTTTTCTTTTGGGGGCAGTGAACTTGGTCTGCGATTGGGTGATGGTGCTATGACCTTGCTCATGTGCCAGGCAAACACTCAGGTGTACACTTTAGCACAGTTAATTGTACAATGTGAATTCTGTCTCAATAAAAAGTCATCAAACAACTATCTATCCTTTATTCTTAGCAAGATTAAAGGAGAAATGTTGATTAGCCAAATAAACAGACCGAAGGAGATGCTCTCAGACACCGAGAATACTGTGAGGTCCCATAGTATGAGTGATGAAGGCCAAAAAGGCTGCAAGAGGTGAGAGGCAAGAGCCTCCAGCCTGAGAGAAAACAGTTATCGAAAGCAGCTTCCTGAGTCATTGCCCCTGCCTCGCTTCCCCTGCTGGGGGAGCCATCAGATTCACCCCTGAAGATGTAGTCTCATGTCACTGACGCTCTTTGTCCTTAGAACCTCTTCTGTGACTCATGGCTCAGGTTATCTCTGCCTGTATAGAGAGTGAGATGCCCAAAGACTGAAATGGGTTTTCTTTATCTTCTTATGATCAGAGTGGCTAATGTATGATCTTGTACATAGCAAGGGCTTAATAATTGTTGACCTGAATTTCACCAACAAGGTATTTCTGAAAGTATTTTATTATCTCAGACATTTATAGGTTATGGTTAGTACAGCTTCTTCAAAAACATGCTTAGTTCATTTGACTGTGAAGAGTGGAGCCGTGTCTGGTGGCTGTGCTCCCCAGTTGAGTCGTAGAGTATGTGTGGTTCTGTGGAGGAAGCTGGTATTTTGGAAAAGGAATTCTGCTTCCTCTCCACTAATCAGTGTCTTTGTTTGGCTCAAGTTCTTTTCTTCAACACCCCCCCCCCCAACCCCCATAAACTTCAGTTTTCTGTCTATAAAATGGGATAATAGTTACCTCTTGGGGTGGTTTTGTGTATTACACAGTGATGACGATAATTGTCAACACTTTCTGTTGGCAAGTGGATGATAAATATGTTATTCATGATAGATTACTGTTTGGTGTGTGGGCATGTTTTAGGAGAAAGAGAAATTCTGTATTCTATCCTGAGTTCTGCTGGAGAGGAGACTTTCTGACCAGCTGATTCTGTGTTGTGTGCATCAGTGGGTCTGAGCGGTGATGGGGAATTACATCAGTAGTTGCATTTCCGTTTCATCATTGGCTATAACCCTCTTGTATTCTTTCTTCTAGGATCTAAAGAAGTACCACTTCTACTACTGGTTTTGCTTCCCTGCTCTCTGCCTTCCAGAGAGTATACCCCTCATTCAGGGGCCAGTGGGCTTGGATCAAAGGTTTTCACCAAAACAGGTATCAACATATTAGCAAAATGCAGGTAAACTTGGGCGTAATAAGCTTGAGTACTTTATCGAAAGACAAGCCCTTGTCTGAATGAAGAGGTGGTCACCATGGGGTCCTCCAAAGATGCCATGAGGAGCAGACTTATTTACGAAATGTTTGTAAAATCATTTTGGAGGAGTGATGCGAGGTGCTTTTTGCAGATATTCTGTGACATTTGGTGAAAGCCTAAGCCAGTAGAAGAGCTATAGGAACATATTGAAAGTCTGCAAGAATTTGCCAAAATGTGGCTTTCGCTTTCATCGCAGAGGATCCTTAGGCGCTAGTTGTACTTTGGGAAGAGAGTCTTTGAAACCAAATAGAAGATCTTCTACTGCCCTCACACCAAGGTGTGGAACTTCTGCACCAGGAATGGCACACACAGGTAGCCTTTGTGGTCTAAGAAAGACAGTGAGAAAGAGGTTGTGCTGAGGAGGGCAGTGAAAATCATCAGGCTAGTACAGCACCGACCCTCAGCCGAAGAATCCTGACTATCCTGGAAACAAGGTTTGAGTGGCAAGATGATTTGAATTCATGAACCACGTCAGTCACTAAACCATGAGTTCTAACACCAGCGAGAAACCCTTATTGATGACAATTTAGTAATTTTGTTTAGTACAAATCAAAGGCTGTGGTTTTGCGGAACTGATTTCCCAAGAAGTGTAAGTAGAGGAAAACGATTATGCCAGGACAACTGACTGCTGATGGCTACGGGGCTTCTTTTAGGAGCGACATAAATGTTCTAAAATTATCAGGTCGATGGGGTGCCCAGCTGGCTTAGTTGGAAAAGCATCTGACTCTTGATCTCAGGGGTCACGAGTTCAAGCCCCACATTGGGTATAGAGATTACTTTTTTTTTTTTTTTAAAAAAAAGGAACTTTAAAATGAGTTGATGGTTGCATAATCCTGTGAACATGCCTAAAAACAGCACTGAATTATGCATTTTATGTGGGTGAATTGTATAATAAGTGGGGTATGCCTCAGTAATACTGTTGTTTTATGGAGAGATTCAGGGTAAAGTTTATCAGTGATGGATTCAGTGCTTGGTTATTACAGGAGAGAAATAATGTTGGGAGCTCTCTCCCTACACCGTCGTGGTTAATATCTTAGGGAACCACCGTGCCACACCATGGAAGTGTCTCCTTGTGCCCCTGTCTAAGACACCAACATGCACATGGGAGGTGTTACATGGAAGTGAAGTGCTGTTATTTGCGGGGCGCTCCTGTGTTCATTTGCTGCAAAAGAAACACAGGGGTATGCTCAGTCATTTCCAGTCTTCTGACGTGAAAATGCCTTTTATGTTAATTTTCAGCTCAGAATTGGGTATGTGACTGTCCGGAGGATAACTCAGTGTTTCCTGTTCTTAGATTCAAGCCCTCGAACGTGCGTATGATGATCTTTGTCACACAGAAGGAGTCCCAGCGCTCCCTTACTTCTTAATCAAATATGATGAGAATGTGGTGCTGGTGTCCCTGCTCAAACACTGCAGCGATTTCTTCCAAGACCAAAGGACGAAGGTCAGAGAAACTCTTGAGTTTCATTTCATTACCCATTAAAAAAAAGAGTCTGATGTTCATGTTATGATAGACCACTACAAAATTCCAACTCAGTTAGATTTCTTTGGCCCTCCAAAGAATGTTGCAGAGTGTTTCTTTGCCTTCTCCCTTTCCCACCGCTGCCATCCCCAAATCAGCTGCTCCTCCGGATTTTCCTAGCTCACTTCCTGTTGGGTTCCTCACGTCCTATTAGTGATAGAGTCATTTCAGTTTTTGCTCCAGTATATTTTGTGTCTGTATTTTAACTTATTTCTAGAGTTACCACCATAGTTCAGGCCCTGATTCCTTCTCTCCTGGATAGTTAGCCTTCCCGCTTCCATCTTGCACGCCACCATGATAGAAGAATCTGCCTCAAACTGCTCACGTAGAACCTAGGGTTCAATGATCACGAGTTAATGGTGTCTTCTCTCTGACTCCAAGCCACCTTTCCTGCCTCACCTTCCACTCTTTTCCTCATAAACCATGGCTCCAACCAAGTTTTCCTGTGTGTGTGTTTTTTTTTAATGTTAATTTTTATTTTTGAGAGGGGGTGACAGATAGAGGAAGACAGAGGATCCAAAGTAGGCTCCGCACTGTCAGTGCAGAGCTGGAAGCAGAACCTGAACTCACAAACTGTGAGATCAAGGCCTGAGCCGAAGTCAGACACTTAACAAACTGAGCCACACGGGCGCCTCTACCTCGGACTTTTTCTATATCTCTCTTTGACCGTGTATCAAATCATCTGAAATCTATTCTACCTGTGAAGATCCTAAGAAAGTCTCCTTGTTGGAATCCTAGCTGCACAGTGAAGCCTTCTCATAGATCTTCCCTTTCCTGATCTCACTGCATTTTTTCCCTATTCTTCATTTACTGTGCTGTGCCCTTGTCAAATTACTTTTGTTCCATACTAGACAGGAAGCTCCCAAGGGCAGGACTGCGTCTTCTGTATCTGTGGGTCCACAGTGTCTAACACTTGTCTTGGGTCCTCAATAAAATTCTTCTGAACGGATCAAAAAGTACTGTCAGTGTCTTTTCGAAGTAATGAGAGATATAGTAAGCTATCTCAGCCATATAAGAGATTGTAAATTAAAAATTTTAAAATTGATGAATTTTGTGAAGTCATGAAGTCCAGTGGGATAATTTCAATAGCCATGTAGACATATCCGAGTTGAGAAGAGAGAGACCTCTAACTGATGCCCTGATTATTCCGTAGCCTGAACTTAAGAAACTTTTTTTAAGTACATTTTTCCCCCCCAATGACATCAGCGTTTTCCTTCACGAAATAATCCTTTCTTAGGTGCTCTGCACTCTATTTTCTGTCCTCTTCTTTTCTGTCTTTTTGAAAAATACCAGTTGTGACCCACTAAGTGATTTGGACTCTGAAGTAGGTCATCACTTCCTTTGGACAATGTTGTGTGCCCCGTTTGAGAATACTGTCAGATAAATGAACGACACTAAGTATGGTTCCGCTCGTTCTTTTTATTTCCAGCTGCATCTTTCTGCTTTTAAATTCTCACAAAGCTATTCGGCTGTTATTTTAAGTTTTTGTTTTTTAAGTAAGCATTTTGTGTATCTCCTACTAATCTCTTCCTATTTTTCAAAGACTGAGATTATACTATATTCTCTTTGATTGTAGCATTTTAGCAGAACACTATCGCAGTCTGCATCAGCATCCTTTCTGATAGATGACGTGACTTTTCTGACACACAGTTTTCTCATACGTCTTCCTCATTAGGAGCCTCCTTGTGCATCAGATCCCTGCCATCCCCCACTTTCCTCGAATTATTTCCTCGCGAAGAGTTTCCAGATACAGAGTGACTGGGCTGAAGAGTTTGGACACTTGAAGGTGTCTGATCGGTGGTGTCCTGACAACTGTCGGACAGCTGGCTGTCTCTCAGGCGGGGTGAGACCCTGACTGTGCAGCGTCTGCTGCTTTCCGGGGCGCCACAACCCCCGCCGCGGCCAGCCTCAGGCTGCCAGTGCAGAGCCCCAGGGCGCGGAGGTGGACAGGGTGCTAACAACCGGCTCACCCCCGCCTGTCCTGACCGGCTCCAGCTCGCTGCTGCTTGCTCTAACTGCGGGTCACAGGCTGCCAGTCCGCCCTCCTGCCGGCCACGGCCCCTCTACCAGCACTGGGATGTCACACAGCCCACGCGTTTACATCGGTTAAAACCGGGCCACGTCTGAGTGCTCCTTTCCCTCAGCGAAGTATTGCTTCTACTCTCCTGCATCGCTGACAATTAGCCAGTGCTTGTGATTCCGTCAGAAACTGCCCGGGTCGCTGACCTGTGGCCCGTCGTTAGGGAAAGCTTGCTTGAGGCTCCTGCTTTCTTCAGAGGAGGCGCTGACGACTGGATGTTTGGGTTACATTTTGTAGTTTTAACAACATCAGCCTCTAATTCAAGGGTTTGAAAACTCTTTGGACACAGCCAGTGGTATGCTCTCAGCGGGGCTCTTTGCTCGCTTAGCAAGCTCCCACCGTGGCGGCTGACTGCGACATCGCTGTGCATCAGACCCTTGGATTTGCGTCCTGCACCTTCTAACCGTGTAATCGCCTTTGCGCATTTCCTGTTTTCAAGCATTTGAGCGACAGACGGCCATTTGTCAGAGAAGCGTGGTTTATGGGATCAGCGTGGAGATTTCTCTAGCCCGGGATACTCAAGTTGACGATTTCACCCTCTTTTCTTTCTTACGTTGAGCTTTTTCAGCAAATAGCCAGGTGGACGGCAGCCAGAACATGACTGAACCACTTGAGTGAATTGTGTGCTCGCAGCCAAGTAGAAAGGAGCGTTTATTTCGTCAGCCTTTTAAACAAAGTTGTTGGGTTTTTTTCCAGTTACATTTTGTTTTTTTTTCCTACTGATTTGTGTGGTAAAAGGAAGTGATTTGCTGCCCAGCTTCACACAATGACTTTGTGGCACAGCCAGTCGGAGAACGCAGAACTCCTGGCCCACGATTATTTCTGACTGCTACTACTACCAAACCAAAAAAGAAAAAAATCCATTTACCCGAACAGTTCAGCTGGCATATCTAGCACTGTGCTGACTAACAATTCCTACAATGACTGAGGTTCCTGATTTGGTTCCGAAAGCACTAAAAGATTTGAAATCACTTTTGAACCATCAAAGAAATACTAAATGATGTTCAGCCTAATGTCAAATGTATTCCATCATTTTCCTGTCTGGAGGCTTGCTTTTTTGCACTCATGCCTGCCTCGTGTGGGTAAGAGAGTCACTCCGAAGCGTGTCCACGTGACCCTCCCTTTATGGGTGACAGATTCCTCTTTAGCAGTTAATTCCTGCCCTGTGGCTCCTCTTAGATCAGGTCGCCCTAAGAAACTTATTTCTGTTTTTTTCTACTCAGAAAAAGATTTGTTTTTTTTCTTACTGCCTTCCTACCTCACTGCCTTTGTATTTAGTGTCAGAAATCAGCTCATTCTTTGAAATTAGGCACCTGCCTGTAGGATCTAATATGACTGTCTAACTTCCATCATTTAAATTCACTTGGTTCTGAGGCATCCCGGTGGCTCAATTGGTTAAAAGTCCGACTCCTGATACAGGCTCAGGTCATGATCTTGCATTTGCGATCTCACAGTCATGAGATTGAGCCCTGCACTGGGCTCCTCCCTGAGTGTGGAGGCTGCTTGGGATCCTCTCTCTCTCTCTCTGTCCCTCCCCTGCTCACTCTCTCTCTTTCTCTCTGTCTCTCTCTCAAAATAAATAAATTCACTTACTTCCAACTCTGCATTTACAGATAGTAACACTTAAATGTAGAAAATATTTGATAAACTGGAATTTATCCCCTCATTTTCTCTGCCAGTTAGGAAAAGGGAACCTTGAGAGTGAAGGTAGAGAACTATGGTAAGATTGAACTGAACAGAGAGGTCAGTGAAGTTACTACAGTAGCAATTATTTACATTGCTCTTACAGTTAGCATTCAGTAAGGGCTTGCCTTGTTTGCAGTCTCTGTCCAGACAGGGTTCTCCAAAGATGAGAAACCCGGCACAGAGAGGTCCTATGAGAGCACGGGACTCAGGACATTGGATAAGAGTCCAGGTTTATTGAGTCACATTTGGAAGTTTGAAACTCAAGAATCTCTATACGGAAGGTATTTTCTGGATTGATACTCTCTGGATTCTTCCTAAATAAAACTTAAGTAGCCATTAGATACCCAGTAAGATTGAGCCTAAGAATATGAGGCTATTAATATTTTATTATCTTATAACCTATGTAGGATTTTTTTCTCTCTTTGATGTTCTATAAAGTTCTATAATTCTGGAGCTAGAAGGAATCCTTTGAGATGAAATGATACAACCTCTCCGTTTTATAGGTGAGGAAAGCACTTTGCCAAGGTCGGTCCCCCACTACGCTTATATGCCTGCCTACTCCCACAACGAGGCCTGGAAATCAGGTCGCTGTGGAATCGGAACGCATGCCTGCTGACCTCCACATCAGCTGTTTTCACGTCAGGTCACCTTCTTCTAAGCTGAGTGAAAGGTTACAGAAGTAGGCGGCCAGTGTCTCCCTTTCCCCCCTTTTCTTGCTGCATAATAGAGTTGTACTTGTCTTTGATGAATTTTTAAAAATTTGAAGTTGAAGCGATGATCAATAAATGTAGTTTGTCCAGCAGAGGCCATCTGTCATGGTTGACAGCAGGGAACAGAAGTGTCCCGGGTGGTGGTGATGGCCAACAGGACGAGAAGACTTCAAACAAGGCAGACAGCTTCTTTGTTCAGAGGGAGCCCTGGGCAGGGAACATCACTTGTTGAGTTCTCTCGCTTCTCAGAGCAAATCCTTTGAGATTCAGCTGCCACATTCTCAGCCGGGAGAGTCTCAGGGTCAGGATGTCCCTGGAGAGGGAGCTGTACTGTTGACAAAGGACAGGGGAGGGAAAGGAGCCAGCTGAGGTGCCACACCACAGCTCCACGGTCTTCGATGTGAGCTTCAGCCGTCAGCTCCCTCCTTCCAGCCGCCCCCCAGGATCCCTGCCTGGAGATGGGGCAGGAGAGACGGAGATTTCCAGAGCTTTCCGTATAGCTTTCCATTTGTTCAGCACAGTTTGCTGAGTAGCCGGTGCCATGCTGGGCACCAGGGACGGAAGGTGTGTGTGATATCCATTGCTCCAGCATTCACAGAGCTCAGAGGCCAGCAAGGGAAACAGATGTGAAAGGCATCCTGTGTCTTCTCCATTCTAAAATGCTTTTTCCTTCACATTTTCATTTTTCTGAAGTCAGGAATTTCTTGCACTTGTTTTGTATCTTTGATGCAGTGATGTTTCCCTGTTTTTTTTTTTCTATACACTTTGAGAGTGGATTTCAAAATCTGTGGTGCTTTGAATCAAGAAAATACCCTGGTTTAACAAATAATCACAACTACCATGGGAAAACCATAGGATGCAATAAACTCCATTTTAACAATCCTAGACCTGAAGTGGCGAGCGCCAGGACGATTGTGCTCCTCCCAGGAATGACCAGAGGAGACCACAGAGCACGTGGGTGTTGGTACCTAGGGAGTATGTTCAGGGAGGGAGGACCATACTTTGAGAAACCGCTGCAGACTCTCAAGAGGTCGTTGTAACTTGGCCGCACCTCAGAATCCCCTGCGGAGCTTTTACGTAAAACACACCCCAGACGGATGAGATCAGAACTTCTGGGGATGGGACCCAGGCCTCAGGAGCTTTGAAAGCTTCCCAGCTGATTGTCCTGCACATTCACGTATGCCGACCAAGGCTGGGGAGGCTTGAGGGCAGAGCGGTGCTCCCAGACTGCAGCGGGCACGCAGATCCCCTGGATCCTTGAGAAAATGCCGATTTGGATCCAGCAGGGCTGGAGACAGGGAGTCTGAGATTCTGCATTTTTTAAAAATGTTTATTTATTTTTGAGAGAGAGAGACAGAAACAGTGCGAGTGGGGGAAGGGGCAGAGAGGGAGGGAGACAAGGAATCTGAAACAGGCTCCAGGCTCCGAGCTGTCAGCACAGAGCCTGACACTTGGCTTGAACTCACGAACCATGAGATCATGACCTGAGCTGAAGTCGGACACTTAACTGACTGAGCCCCCCACCCAGGCACCCCTGAGATTCTGCATGTCTGACAGTCCCAGGTGACGCTCTGCTGCTGGTGCGGGGACCACATTTGACAGAGAATGGAAAGACATAGAGCCAATCCAGACTTGTCAAGGTAGTTAAAAGTGGCCCCGCAGGCTTTTTTTCCTTTTTTCTACAAGACCACCTTCTGCAATGGTTCCCAGAGTCAGTCCGCGGACAGGGCCAACTGCACCAGAATTACTTAGGTGAGGCTCAGGACTGGAGATTCGAGGACACTGATAATAATATTATCAGCGCTACACGTGTGCAGGGCTTTTGACGTCAGTACCACAGTTTGTAATCCTCACTCCAGCTCCGTGAAGTAGCTGCATGCTTTGATTTAGGTTTCAGAAGCTGAGGCCTGAAGAATTTGTCTTCTTTGCCCTAGGCCACATGTGTAGTAATCTCTGCATACTCTCTGTAAAAGCTTCCTGGATGCTGATGTTTCATCTCCCGTGGAAAAGGAAATCTCAAAGACATTCTGTAGTTCCTGAAATGATGGTCATATGTTTGGCTCTGTATTGAATTAAATCCAAATCTGTCTGTGTGCATTGAAGACATGAAATGGATCTAGGCAGAAATCTTCAGTGTTAGGAATAAGAAAATTTCACATAGGGAAGGTAGCAAGAAAAGAATATCCTTGGAATAATACAGTAATTGTCTGATAAGGCAGTAGTAAAATTCCCTTTCAGAGATTTTTACTGAGCACAGATGAAGGCTAATTAATGGTCCTTCGTAGGAAATAGGAAAAAGTTATACACTGGCAGGGAAGGACAGATACCATATGTTTTCACTCATATGTGGATCAGGAGAAACTTAACAGAGGACCATGGGGGAGGGGAAGGGGAAAAAATAGTTAAGGACAAGGAGGGAGGCAAACCATAAGAGACTCTTAAGTAGTGAGAACAAGCAATGGGCTGATGGGGGCTGGGGGAGAGGGGAAAGTGGGTGATAGGCCTGGAAGAGGGCACTTGTTGGGATGAGCACTGGGTGTTATATGGAAACCAATGTGACAATAAACTATAAAGAAAAAAAAAGTTATACACCAATACAATGAAATGCCATCGGCCACTATTGACAGTGGTTGTAGAATGACATTTATTGGCAGGGAAGAGAGTTCACAGTAGACTAAGAGATATAAAACAGTATTTAGAGCATGATCTAAGTTTTCTTTAGCAATAAAGTTATACTAAAATTAAAAAATTCTACAAGAGTTACAGTAATAAAGTATATTTATGCAAAGAGGAAATTATGGGAGGTTATACACCAAGGTGTTGATGTTGGTTTTCTCTGGATGGTGACCTAGAGTCTGACTGGCCTGCCTTCCTTCCTTTTGTTTCCTTTCTTTCCTTTCTCTGAATATAGGTTAAGCTTCTGTTTTGTGTCTAACATATTGAGCATTGCAGTAAATGAATGGAAGTGTTTGGGCTGATCGCATTCTTATAAAACTAACTGATCTAGAGTAACTGAAATTCTGCCATGTTTTTATTTAACCCACAAATACACCTATAAAGGAAACCTGTGGGTTGACTTACGGTTCCCTCCCAACCATCTTTCTTCCCTTCCTCCCTTTCTCTCTCCTTTCACCCACCCATCCTTCTTCCCTCCCATCCACCCATCATCCACCCATCCACCCATCCATCTTTTTATCATTCAGCATGCATTCACTAAGTATCTGCTGTGTATATATGAACTGATCATGGGGAGATGAAAAAGATACACCCTGTTCTTTAGATACTCACTGCTTCCCTTTTTAAGATACAGTTTTTGCTTTGGTGTAATTTTAGATTTGTAAAAAGTTGAAAGTACAGTGCAGGGAGGGTTCCCATACACCGTCTCCCAGTTTTAGCTTTCTGTACTGTAACCACCATACATTAGCATGGTACCTTTGTCAAACCCGAGAAGCCGGCATAGTTTACGATTACCTAAACTCCAGACGTTCAGCTGTTAACCAGTTTTCTGCACATCTTCCTTCTGTTTCAGGAGCCATTCCAGGAGACCACATGCACTTTATTGCCATGTCTCTTTGGTCTCCTCTGCTCAGTAGTAGTTTCTCAGGCGTTCCTTGTTTTTGATGACCTGGACCATTTTGAAGAGTTATGGAGAGTTATTTTGGTAGAATGCCCCCTAATTTGGATTTATCTGATGTTTTCGTATGATTAGACTAGGGTTATGGGTTTTGGGAAAGAGTGCCACTAAGGTAAAGTACCCTGGTCATCACATCTTACAGGGGCTACCTGATACTTACATGCATCCTTGATCATGTTAAACTTGACCACGTGGTTAAGGTAGTCTTTACCAGATTTCTCCATTGTGAAGTTACTGTTTTTGTCTTTGGAAGTGGGTCACTAAGTCTGGCCCACCTTCAAGGAGGAGAAGGATTAACCTCTATTCCTGGAGGGGGCAGTATCTGTATATACTGTTTGGAAATCTGTAAAGAAGACTTATCTCTTCACATTCATATATTTGTTTATCCCATCCCTTATTTATATCAGTTTGGACTCATAGGTGTTTATTTAAGACTTTGGCCTATAATCCAATACCATGTTATTTATTTTATTGCTTAGATTTTTCCAGTCTTAGGCATTGAATGCCGTTTCAGTTGGTTCTTGTGTCCCCTTCACATGCCCCCGTGCTTTTGTTTATTGAGCACTTCCTTTATTATTTTTTTTAAGTTTATTTATTTACTTTGAGAGAGAGCACAAGCTGGGGAGAGGCAGAGAAAGGGAGAGACAGAATCCCAAGCAGGTTCCATGCCCTCGAGGCAGAGCCTGGTGTGGGGCTCGAACTCACAAACTGTGAGATCACTCAAGAGTCAGACACTTAACTGACTGTGCCACCCGGCACTGCCTTCCTTACTCTTTGATAGACAAGCTGCTTCAGACTCTTCGTGTATTGTACCTGTCCCTGTCCTAGAGTCAGCCATGTGTTCAAGGAGTCCTGATTCCTTTTATGGGAGGATGGTATTTAGAAATTAAGATCTGGGTGCTACATGCCCCTTGTCTTTTGAAACGAAGAAAAAAAGCGAAAATTGGTATATATAATGTACAAATTGCTATGGAAGCACAGCAGACGGAGCGATTGTTCCCACCAAAGGGAGTCTTCACTGAAGAAATGGTATTTGAATTTGAGTAGAGTTTTCCAGACAGAGGTCAAGGTGGAGGGAGTTGGAGGGGGAAGGAGTGGAAAGAAATACATGTTAGCAGTATCAAGAGCATCTGACTGTAGACTTATAATGGTAGTGGCCCTTCCGTTTATTTTCTCACTACATAAACATTAGCAGTTTTCACAAATTGTTATCTCTTTATAAATAGAGGACAGTCGCTCTGTGAGCCCTGACAGCTGACTCTCTTCTCGCCCCCTATTTTCCCACGGAGTCTCTCTTTCTTTTAAACGTACCTAGTTCCTACTCTGCCGGGCCCACCGCAAGGCATTGGTGTGGTGCAGAGAAGGATTGGATAGCCCCTCCATCAAGCAGTTCTGGGGTCTGGTGTGAGCTCCTTTTGCTTTCTTCTCTGCCCTCTAGCCCTTCATCAACTGTCTAATTTCTTAATGCTTTTGCCGAACAGCAGATAAAGGTAAGAGGAAGTGTTAGCAGTGTCTGCACTGCGAAACTGACACGCTCTTTGACTCACTCAGCAAGTCTCTTCTGTTCACAGGTAACGATTGGTGTGTACGATCCCTGTAACTTAGCCCAGCACCCTGGATGGCCTTTGAGGAATCTTTTGGTCCTTGCAGCTCACCGATGGTATTTACATGTGTGTGTCTGTGTCTGTCTGTCTGTCTGTCTATCTGTTTTTGACCTTGTGTCCGCCTATATCTGTGTCTCCTTTTTTCCCCAAGTGCATTTTTTTTTGTTCATTTCTTGCATAGAAACCAGATAATAAATCAATGAATGAGTCACAATCCAATCCATCAGTGATGAGCCCCCAACCAGGTGTGTTATGGAGCTGCAGGCTCTGACCATACTGCAGCAAAGATATTTCAGAGTAGGGCGGGGTAAGCCGGAGGTCCCAGTCCCCAAATCCTCCAGCCATTCCCTCCAGCTATCTGGGTCACTCTCAGATAGGATTTTCCTACTGCTACCATCTTCTTTTTCTCCTGACCCTAAAATAGTGAAAACAGAGTGTATCTAAGAGCTCAGTATGCATTTGAAAAGATGCTCAACCTCATTAGGCATTATGGACATAAAATATAATGAGAGACTGCTCAGTAATAGAGATACCGAGGTACCATGCTGAGATACTACTACATGCCTGCCAAATGACTTAAAAAAGATGACAATACCAAGTGTTGTCAAAGATGTGAATTGGTTGAAACCCTCAAACACTGCTAGAAAACTGGCAGCCTCCACCAAAGTTAAAACTATCTGTGGCTCAGTGATTTCCTTCTCAGATATATAATGCACAGAAATGTGTACTCAGCTACAAAGCAAACGCATGTGCAGGAATTTTTATAGCAGCTTCATTCTTAATAGTCCAATACTGGAAATAACCCAGATGTCCTTCAGCAGTGAAGTGGATAATGAATTGTCGTGTATTCATTGCGAGGGAATGTGGTGTTGTATTGAATCTGAGTGAACTACTGATAACATGTATCAGCACGGGTGTCATAATGTTGAGTGAAATGACATCATGTTGAGTACAATAAGCTGGACCGATGAGAATGCGCACTCTGTGATTCCTCCTACGTGAACATGAGACCGGGCACCACCCAGGAACGGACCTAGACAGCGGAGTGGTAGTTACTCTGGAGGGGGGTGGGCAGTGACTGTGAGAAGGCATTGGATGAGCTCCTTCATATTTAAGATTTGTGTACTTGTCTTTGTATCTGTTTTACGTACATAAAAGTGCTTAAAACAAACGAAGATAGTTAAATTATAGTTGGTCCCCAGGGGAGAATGGTTACACTCGCTTATCCAGGGGGTGAGTCTGTAGAGCGCACACAGCCTTCCTAACTGCTACTGACTGCAGTGCCGTTTCATAGAATAGGAGGTCAGAGAGGGAGAAGGAGGCCCAGAAGACACCCTGTATGTCTTAGAGGTTCTTTTTAACATCTTGTAAGCTCTTTCCCCTGCATTGATGATTCATTGGTCAGAATTATTTATTTGCAACGTGATTGTTATATAAAATTCACTTAGCAATCACAGCCAATTCATTGTTCGGCCTCTAAACATTTGGACAAAGGAGAGCATACTTGGACACGTTCAAAATCTCTCAGAGGTTAAGGCCATGTCCCAGGGGCGTCAGGGAGGCATAATTACAATGCATTGAATACTCTCCAACTGCTTTTGCCGCAGCTCTTATGAGAGCTCTTTCTTTTCCTTCCTTAAAAACAAAAATGAATTCATTAAAACCTGGCGCCTGACATCAGGAGCAGCAGTTTCCAGTCTGTTGAAATCCTCTGCTTCCGGGACCGCACCATGCAGGGCGTGAGAGACATTGCCCACAGCATTGTCTTCGAAGTGAAGCTTCCCGAAATGGCATTCAGCCCAGGTAATTTGCCGGTCGTTGAGAATGCATGTAATTATCATTTATCAGAAGAAGCCTCAGCAAGTTTAACGTTACTCTCATCCCTTCACAATGGCAGCAGAAGATAGAGGAAAGCACAGTCCCTACCTCTCTGCCCCTGGGAACGCCTCCCTGGGACGGAGGCCACACTCCGCTATTCAGGAAGCAACAAAGGTGCAGATTGTCCTCAGGAAATTTCCTCCAGGCCTTTTTTTTTTAATCTTTCAGACTTGAGGATTTTCTTCCCCCTTCCTAGGTTTTGTTTCATATAAAATGTTTATTCCTGACCTTTCTTAGAGAAAGAATGAAGTATTAACATACTTACAGATTTATTTGTTGCCCCAAGTTTTGTGTGGTCCTGTTCTCCCCATAGGAAACCAGTTAGCACACATGCCCTTTCTCCTTCCATGTTTAATACTCTTACTTGACCCTGTGTGGTAGATGTTGGCTATTACCTCTGTAAGTTAGGAAACTTGGGTTCACGGGGATTTTATAGGTGTGCGTGCGTGTACATACACGTATATATTTATATACATGTCACAAAGTAGAACACGTCCTCAAATTCAAGTAAAATAAAGGTAATAGTACCTGCCTCATGGAGTATATACCCTAGGACAAATCTGCGTCCCGTGTAAAAGAACGCAGTGTCTGGCATAGGCATTTAATACATGCTCATTTATGTTAACTTCCTGTCTTACACAAAGCCCAGCACTCTCCAGAACGTTCCCTCAGACTTCTATGACCTACGCGCTTTCCAGGCTACTTTTGTGTCCACTGTTTAATCGGCCCTTCACCGCGTGTGTGTTGTGCCGAGGCACGCTGCTTTCTTTAGAGTCTGGGGTCATGTGCTCTAGACTGTGTGTGTTGGAGAGGGCGGTGGTGACATCGCTTCCGAGATGTCATTTCTAGAGTGCAGAAGTCAGGTTTCAGGGTTGACTGTGACAGGATTTTATTGGCGACTCTTTGCCGCAGCGCTGATAAATGTCTTAAATAGATTTCTCGGGAAGCTTGAGGTGGACTCGGCTTGGTTAAGCAAAGGAGGAGGCTGTAAATTGTAAGCTGAGAGCCCTTGGAAATTCACTGCTTCCCCGCTGTCTTCAGATGCTTGCATTTGTTATAGCACCCTCTTCTGGCACATTCTGAAATAGCGTCCGTGGCCTCTTCGGTGCTATAACCTTTGTGTTATTAAGCTGCAGTTTGTAGATAGTTCTCGGGGAATGGGTGAGTTAACTAACCAGTAAATGTGCCTGGTCTCTGCCCCACAGGCCACCAGATGCCTTCCATACTTCCTCAGTCTTACCAGCTACCCTCCAGAGGAGGGACTTTTGTTTCCATTTTTATGATAAAGTCCTTGGATGATTCTTCCTCCCCACTCCCAGTTACCTCGCTGATGCGTGGTGAAGCTGGCAAACTCCAGAAACACCGCACGTTTCCTTTTGTAAAAGATGTTTCTTGTCATCCAAGGCTCTTGTATTGAGCCTTTGATACATCTTTTTTCTGCTTGATACTGAGTGCACACTGTTTAATTTAGGAAAGGCAAATTTTCTTTCTTTTTTCACATAAATTAATATCCCCCTTTAGCTACAGGTAAAACTTTAAATAAAACTTTGTAAAGAGTTATTCTGTAGGATAATGTGAACTCAGCATATTGATACGGTGGTAGTTTATATTTTTTCAAAGACATCCTATAGTTGCAACGGCAGTGGTATAAGAAGTATGATTCTGGGGCTCCTGGGTGGCTCTGTTGGTTAAGCATCTGACTTCGGCTCAGGTCATGATCTCACAGTTCATGGGTCTGAGCCCCGCATCGGGCTCTGTGCTGACAACTAGCTCAGAGCCTGGAGCCTGCTTCAGATTTTGTATCTCCCTCTCTCTCTGACCCTCCTCTGCTCACGCTGTCTGTCTGTCTGTCTCTCTCTCTCTGAGAAATAAATAAGAAAATATTTTAAAAAGTATGGTTTTAAATATCCTCCACCATCTTTTGCCTCTCGTGGTGCAGCAAAGCCCACTGTCCACTGTTGATAGAAAAAGTATTCTGCCAGCTGGCAGAAGGAGGCAGCAGACTCTGCTGAGAGCGGGAGAGCCCTCATTTTCATTTACATCCTTGAAGTTCTCCACCTGATTGTTTGGCTGTGAGAAAACAAGACCTAATGATCCCCTAAAAGTTTTTTTTCTATTAATTTGGGGCATGTCTTATGGACGTAATTTGTATACAGGCAAATAGGATAGATTAAATATGTTTTTTCATTATTAATAAGCTTGAAGTATATCTAATTTTCTTAGCAACGGTGGTAACATTTTGAGAGCAGAGATGTTTTCATTTGAAATGAGATTTTATTTTGTCCCATGACTTCTTATCTGAAACGGGAGAAAGCTTAGGTCAGGGCTGTTAATTGCCGAACTAGACTGTGTGCTTTTGAAGTTCTTTTCAAGTTTTCGGGTTCTATATTAGCAATGCCTTTTTTTAAATTAAATGTAAGACTGGCGAGGAGAGCAGACAAAATATGAATTGCTAACATGTCTGAACTCCTTTCTCCAGAAAAAAAAAAATTGAACTCTTAACCTTTTTTTTTAATTTTTAAATGTTTTATTTATTTCTAGGAGAGAGAGAGAGAGACAGTGTGAGCAGGGGAGGGTCAGAGAGAGAGGGAGTCACAGACTGAAACAGGCTCCAGGCTCTGAGCTGGCAGTCAGCACAGAGCCCGACGCGGGGCTCGAACCCACGAACCGCGAGATCATGACCTAAGCGAAAGTCGGACGCTTAACCAACTAAGCCACCCAGGCGCCCCAGAACTCTTAACCTTTTTTAAGAACTCAAATCTATTATGTCACTTTTAATTTTTTATTATATTGAAAAAAACCCACAGCAGAGTGCCTGAGTTATAATGGTAAAGGACATTTATTTTCTGGCTTCTTGCTGTCAATGATAAGTCCAGCCACACCGGGGCCCCAAGTAGCTTTTGAGGATAGTTGGCCCCAAGATTTTCCATTGGTCATCGTATCGCAGAAAGGAAAGATTGTGTCAAGGAAATCTATACCTTCTAGGGCCCATAATTATACTGAGCAATACTATTTTAAAGGTCACCAGTGAAAACGTTCCCAAAGAAAGGAAAATAGACGTGTTGACAGCAATCCAAAAGCAGGAGAGTGGCCAAAGGACACCGGAATACAAATTAGAAACACAGACTTCTTCCCAGTCGTCCTGTACATCCTTCAGTCCGGGAGTTTCTGTTCCTTCAGAGCCTGTTGCTTAAGGCAGACACTGGAGGGGACGCTGGCAGTGTAGATTGTGACCGAGTGAATTCCCTGATAAGGTGTAGAGGCTTTACTGTGAATCTCAGGCACCTGGTGAGAAAGGGAGTACAACAGAGGTCCTAAGATGTGAAGAGGGGAGAGAGTGAGTGGCCCCCCATTAGCAGGTTTCCACCAAGGAAGTCAGGTTACCATGAAGGTAAGAAAGTTCTTGCCAGGAGTGTTCTACAAAGCAAGTGAGACTTGTTGGAGGATTTTGTGATAATAGAATAGAGCCGCCACAGGATCCTTGTCCCCGGAGAGCGTCGCCTAGAGCACACTTCAAGAGCAGGCACTGGAAATCCAGAGGCCCCCATAGCGGAGATGAAAACAGGTTGGTGGAGAAGAGAGAAGTCAGGGAAGGGGAAAGACGGACCAGATAAGGATGAGCTTGAAGGAGAGGGCTCCTTCCCAGAGGGACAGGAGAGGTGCACAGAGATGGGGTTGAGAGGCTGAGCAGAGCGATGTGATAAGGATGAGGAACAGAAAGGATGCCCTGAACGTAGAGGTTCAAATCCTGATGGCAACCTGGGCGGAGACTGTGCTGCGGTCATGCTGGCCGGTCTTCCGTGGATAAGGGAGCCTTGCACGGGTTCTACCTATGCCGGGTTGGGTTGTCTTTCTGAGCAGCTTCCAGGACCTGCAGACGTTGAGGCGGCTCAGGCCAGAGCCACGGCTATTTCTGAAGCCCCCCTACAGGAAAACCCTGCTCGGGTCTGGTGACCTCTCAGCCAGGGTCCCAATAGTAGAGGAAGACGGTGAGCAGTTGTTGCAAGTACATGTAAATTCAGGCCCCCACACCGCTTTGAGAAAGAAGTGAACCGAAAGCTTATTTAATGTGTGGGCCATCTTGCTACTTGACTTGTTTTATTCTTCCCTCCTTCATTAAACAAACTGTTTTATTTGTCTTAAGATTGTCCCAAAGCAGTCGGATGGGAAAAAAACCAGAAAGGCGGCATGGGACCGAGGATGGTGAACCTCAGTGAATGTATGGACCCTAAAAGGTATAGTTCTGGGAGCTGTTTTCTCCAGTGGGACCACTGGTAACGAGGACACATAGCAGGTTCCGTCGGGCCAACCACATCGTTCAGCTCAGTTCCGGGCGGGGGCGGGGTGTGTGTGTTTGTGTGATTCACGGTGACAGCCAGTGTTCCTCCACTCTTGGCTCCCTGACTCTCACTGGCGGTGAGAGTGAATATCACTGATGGAGATCCTGAAGGGCGCACAGTTCATCTGCTCTTCTAGACATTCTAAGTTTTGTTCTTGCTTTGAGCCGAGATTCTCAAACCTAGTCCTAACTTTTAGTCCTTATTCTTGGCCTTTTCATTTAGTCCCATGAGCCTACATTGCAGGGCATTATCAGAAAGATTTCAGAGAAACCAGTGTTGTATTTAACGGATAAAAGTGCACCCTGTTTTGAGGGGCTGTGGGAAATATCTCTCGGTTTTCAGTATTAGGAAAACATTTCCTCTTCAGTAGCTGGTGTCTTCTTTATTTATAGATACAATGACTCCTATAAGTGGTCACGCTCCCATTTTCACTTTGGCTGCTGGGAGCTCGGTGTCACGTTTGTGGCCTGTCACCAGCAGTCACGGAGGTCTGCAGGTGCACACGTGCTGTGCTGTTTCTCGTAGCTGTTGCCCGTAAGCTTCAACTTATTTTCCCTTCCATCTCCTTCCGCTTAGTTAGGATTTGTTCGTCATTTTCTCATTCAGATGATTTCTGTCTTTTTATGACAAGATTGGGGCATGAATGAGTGACTGCATGGATAAATAGTTCTGTCATTTTCCAGGTTAGCTGAGTCATCAGTGGATTTAAATCTCAAATTGATGTGTTGGAGGTTGGTGCCTACTTTGGACTTAGACAAGGTTGTGTCTGTCAAGTGTCTGCTGCTGGGAGCCGGCACCCTGGGCTGTAACGTAGCTCGGACACTGATGGTAAGTGGTGGGGGCCGAACGGGACCTCTGAAGCCGTAGCTTCTCCTCCTAACCTAACTCTGCCAGATTGGTCTCCACCTCCCAGACTCCTTCCTCCTCTTTCCCTCCCCTCCTTCCTTCTTCCCTCCCTCTCTCTCCCCTTCTTGTTTCTTTCCTTAGTTCTCTTCTTAATTATAAAAGGAATTTATACTTTTATCATAAAGGAGAAGCGGAAGGTCTTCGTCCACCCTCCTCTCATCCCATTTCCCAGAATTCAGCAGACTTCCTGGAATAATACACAGTGTGTCCTTCCCTGATGGTTTCATAGACAGACTTGCAAATAAAAAGAGGGACATTTGTCGTCTTTGCTGTCATTTGTTTTTGCAAAACTTGGATCATAGCATACTGTCTATAACAGGTTTTTATTCTTAACTCAGTAGAAAAATAATTGTGGCTCTCTTTCTGTATGTTCCATATTTTGTGTATGTAGTATACATATGACTCTATCCTCAGTGTATTTCAGTTTCAAAATAGTTTTTGAGATGCTGTTGAAATGAACATTTTTAGATCTTTATATACCTGTGAGATTATTTCTTTAGGCAAAAATCCCTAGAATTATTATGTTAGAATGTACTGTGTGTTGTATGTATACTACATGTATATGTGTGTACACTGTATATATATGTGTGTAGTATATACACACATACACGTATATGTAAAATATGTATTATGTACAATATGTATATATGTTTTTTAAACTAAATTACCTTCCCAAAACATTTTACGAGTCTGTACTTTTTATTTATTTTATAATGTTTATTTATTTTTGAGAGAGAGACAGAGAGACAGAACATGAGTGGGTAAGGGGCAGAGAGGGAGAAGGAGACAAAGAATCTGAGGCAGCTTCAGGCTCTGAGCTGTCAGCACAGAGCCCGACGTGGGGCTCAAAGTAATGAACTGTGAGATCATGACCTGAGCTATGTGGGTGCTTAGCCGACTGAGCCACCCAGGTGCCCCACGATTCTACTTTTAGAAACGTATACAAAAACGGAACTTTTTAATTTGCATTTCTTTTACTAGTGAGGGTGTGTCCTTGATGTTGTTTCCTTTGTGAATTTTATTCTATTCATGTAATTTCATAATTGATTGACACAAAATACATATGATAGAATACCGTATGTATTTTTCATCTTTTAAAACTTTCTTTATCTTTTTAAAAATCTTTCCTCATTCCTAATGCTGCATAGGTATGTTTTCTCTTTTTTTCTTATTCATACTTGCCAGAGAGGCTTGTCTGCTGTTTCAGTCTTTTTGGAGGGCTAAGTCCTTGATTTATTTATTAGTTCTATAGTTTTTGTTTTTGTTTTGTGTTGCTTTCAGATTCATTAACATCTAGTTTTATCTTCATTAATGTCTACTTTTATCTTCATTAACATCCTCCTCTCTTTGTGGAATTTATTTTATTATTCTTTTTTCTGGCTTCCAGAATTAGGTGCTTAGGTCTTCTTAATATTTTTTAAAATGATAAAGTCGTTGGAGACCCACTGTAGAAAATGTGTGAAGTATAGAAGTTATAAAGCAGGAATAGAAGATACCCATTTTCCTACCACTTTTTCACTTATTTCCTTTCAGTGTTTGTTAAATATATATTTAAACATTTTATTTGATGTATAGTAATACTCTTTGCTAATTTATCTGTTGACCTTGTAAACCCTTTCTCATGTCATTAAACATGCTTGTAAAGCATGTTTAGTGACTATAGAATATACCTTCTATGATGAATATAATGTGCTGAGACACTTCCCTAATGGTAGGCATTAATATGTATCCAATATTTTGCAACTGCAAATTACGTTTGGACCATTTTTGTTCATGTTCAGATTACTTCTAGGATAGATTGCTACAAGTAAATCAAAAGATATGAACATTTGGAAGATTCGAGAAACATATTGACAAATTTATTTCCCAGAAAAATTAGATCAGTTTACATTTTCAACCCATGCAGTAGGTTTTTCATCTCCACATCCTCACTGATACTCAACTGAGTATTATCATTTTCTTTAATCTTTACAGATTAGCCCTTTAAACTGCATAGCATCCCAGGAAGCCACAAGTTAGGTGGCTCACCTCTGGTGTGTTTGTGATTTACCTGGCTTGCTTCCCACTGCCCAGTATGTCCCAGGCTGCCTTCCTTGCTGAATGTAAAAGTACTTCAGAAGTAAATGTTCCCAAACCCAGCACAGGTCACTTTTGGGTTTTCCATCTCTTTGTTCTACCTCCACGGCAGACTGCTTAGCTGGCAAAAGTCACGTATAAAACTGGGTGGGTAGACCAGAGTGTACCAGCGGGCTTTCAACCTAAACTATGCTTTTGAAAGGATGGGATCCTGGCCTGTCCTTCTCAACCTTGAAAATGAATCTTGGGTTCTAGTTGACTGTCCTCTGGGAACCAACAGTCGAGTTGAGTTTCAGAGTCCATAATGGAAGGCTATTGAAATAAGAGAGAGAGCAGAAGCAGCTTTGTAGCCGATCACGGCAGGGGCTTCTCCTTACATCACTGTGCCTATTTGTCATCTGCTGAGACGCACACACCGCACCTCACCATCTAGAAAGCTGTCATCTTCATTTGGTGGCAACTCTCAGGATCTCATCCCTTTCCCACCGTTAACCAGATCCATGACCTTAAGTGATTTCTGGGCTACACGTTGCATATCTGTAAATCAAAAACAGTTGACTAAGATGTTAGAGATACCACATCTCAGTTTAAAACTGGGTGGTTCTATAATACTTTAAAGGAATTCTAATTGAGTGTATAAAATCATGCAAACTATTTGAGAGAGTGTAGACTTGTCCCCTGTATGACCGAATATTAATAAGTAGTACGAAATCTTCTGCAACATTATACAACAGGAAATAACTTGTAAGTCATTTTTCTGAGGACTTAGTTCAGGCTTTGAGTGAGTTTTAATGTGAGCTGTATTTGCATTTAATTATTCATTAAGGGAAAGCAAGGGCATTTGGGGGCTTATCGTTAATCCTTTTAAGACAGCAAGGTAGATACTTCTCATGGGACTCACCTCCACATCTTCCTCTGGTGCCACCAGAAAAATAATGACTTATTAGTCAGACCCGCTCTGACAAGTCTTAGATTCATTACTGCAGGAAGCCAGGCCCCGGGTGTATAATTATTTTGTCTTTTAAAGGAAGCTGACCCTCTGTTGATCAAAATCTGCATTTGCACAGTTGAGTTGCTGAAGTTTCCTGTATTTTGAGGTTCCCAAGCTATCCCAAAACGAAACCTCTTTTAGCGACTGCAAGAGAGGCACCCTGTACAATGTTCATCAGAAACACACCATGATCTCTTATTTCCGTGCAGGGCTGGGGCGTCAGACACCTCACATTTGTGGACAATGCCAACATCTCCTACTCTAATCCCGTGCGGCAGCCCCTCTATGAATTTGAAGATTGCCTAGCAGGTGGTAAGCCCAAGGCCCTGGCTGCAGCTGATCGGCTCCAGAAAATATTCCCTGGAGTGGTATGTTGATGCTGTTGGGAAATGTTGGAGGTTTTCTCCTGTAGCTTCCCATGAGTAATCTTGGGGAATGAGGCCCTGTGGTCTTGGTAAAAGAGAGTCAGACGTTTGTCACTTGCTACCTGGGCCTTCATCATATGGCCAAGCCTCTCTTCATCTCAGAGAGGGGGATTAAAAAGCAAAACAAAACTCTCATTTCTCATTGTGAAAATAAGGTGAAGAATGCGTGAAAAAGTGTTTTTGTAAGTTGCAAAGCATTACCTGAGTTTGAGCTGAGGAATTTGGGAGTATGCATATATTTATATACAGCTTTGTTAAAAAAAGATTTATGATAGCTCAGATATAGGATACTGTTCTTCCTCCATCACCAGAGTACTTGATAGTTACTGAATACAGGTTTATGAAATTAAATTGAATGGAAGTCTGTGCGGAATGTGACTGAATGCCTAACTTTTTACCTGAGCTTCTTCATTGAGTTGCATTGTTCCCTTTAAAAACACTATCTAATAAGAGACAAGTCATTTAGCTCATTTGATTCAAAATCTGGCAAGTTTTTTTTTTTTTTTTTTTTTATTTGAGGTCATCCACAAAAGAGAATCTGCAACTTGCCTGCTTAATCAGTTGCTCTCTGAAAAGTTAGATTAGATATCTGCGAAGCCTTACCGGGCCACAAGTGACTTTCAGCCCCAGCCAAAAGGTAGCCAGCCCACTTTCTCAAAGTTTTTCTGTTTAATCACTCAGTATATTATTCACCCATTTTAGAAGCTTTTGCTTTAAAAGAAGCAACGTTGATGGTTTTGTCCGTTTCACCGGCAATCCTGAGGAACATGGTTTATTGGGTTTAATTCAACACTTAATGATTAAGCACCCACTGTATATCCAGTTAGGTGCCGGAGGCCAAAAGAAATAAGAATGTTACAACCCTGTCAATTGAGGAGCCATATTAGCTAGTTTCTGCCACATTGTTGCATGTCACACAGTCCTACCCTCTCCCTGCTGGTATTATTATAGGCATTTATCTCAGGCTCACAGGTCTGCAGATTGGCTGTAGCTTAGCTGCTGGGCTAGGCTGGACTCCAGTCTTTAGGAAGGTTCCAGTTTGCCCTGTGTGTCATTGTTTTAAAATCTAGGCTCGTGGAGCAACAGCCTGGGTCCTGCTCTTCTGGTAGAAGGAGGAAGTATAAAAGGACTGGTGAAAACTTATTTTACCTCTAAAACCTCAGCCCACCATGACACGGTGTAGCATCTTCCGTTTCTGTGCCCCAGCCAGTCACAGGGCCAAGCCTGAAGTCAGCGGGGCTTGTCAGATGACCCTGCCTTTCTAGTGGGAGGTTCTGCAAAGTCATTTGGCAAAGGGCGAAGCCGTTCCCGTTAGTGGGAGGCAGTGGGTAGTTGGGAAGAGTAAGTCAGTCTCTCACTGGAGAACATTACGAGCTCCCCTCAGGGTCCAGACAGACCCGGCTTTGAATCTGAGGTCAGCTACTTTCTAGTTGCCTGAAACTTTTCCTTGCCCAAACGGTCTGTGACCCGGTGCAGGCCTCTCCCCGCCCCCCCCCCCCCCCCCCCCCCCCCATTTATTTGTATAGCTATTCTGTTACTTACTAAATACTTAAGGCCTTCTGCGTGCTGGGCACTGGGGCACCAGCAGGAAAAGTTCCCTCTCCCCTGCATGGAGCTTTTATAGTCCACAGGGGGACACGGTCCATAACAACTAATTTTGTAAACAGTTGTAATTGTTGAGTGCGTGAAGCAGGAGCTTGGTGGCTGTGAGGATGTTTACCAGGCAGCCTGACCTAAGCTAGACTCCCTTGAGAAAGCCAAGTTCTGAAGATGGGAGGGGGTCATGAAGCTGTCTGCAAAGGCCTGGGGCAGGAGACACGCGGTGCTTCTGTGGCACTGCGGGAAAACCAGGGAGGCTGAAGCACTGACATCAGCGAAGATGAGAAGGGGCCCGGGCAGGCGCGAGGGCTGGTCACGCTGGGCCTTTGAGATCAAGTTCACCTTTTCTTGAAACCATCAGCCCACCCGGGTTGAGCGTCCTCTTCAGCACTCACACTGTGCTGCTGGGTTTTTCAGTCCTGGAGGCCAGAAGCCAGGTTTTTATACTTGCATCCTTCCTGCCTTGTAAGCAATAACAGATAATGTACAGAACCCATTAAAGTACTAGCGGATCCGTCAACTTCCTGAAAAGCCCTTGTGAAACTATTTCACCTACCGATTACCCAGACTTAAGGCATTTTCTTTGTATGTTCGGTTTGGTGTAGTGTTTTCATTCAGCAGATATTTACTCATCACCTTACTCCAGGCCGCAGCCACGGGGCTAGTCCTAGGTGAACAAGCTGTGAAGAGAGCTGCCCTGCTGCAAATGCCCTATTCCTGGGGTTGAATTAACGGAGTAGGAAAAAAACCAACCTTTAATCAAGCAAGTAACTATTTGAAATTACTTTTTTTTTTTTTTTTTTTTTAAAGACAAGGCAATGTAGGATTGTGAAACCACACCAGAGGTTTTAAAACCCAACTCTGGACATCTGTTTGCAACCCCAATGAGTAACTGGTACTGGACCAGTTCCTTTATCACAAGCAGTCACACAACCTGGTAAAATATATAAAGTGCCTCTCTCCAGGCAGTGGAGTAGTGAAAGACCGTGGTCCTAGACAGAAAGGAAAGAAGGAATGTTTGTCCCAGCCCACTGCATGGTGGTACTTTCTGGCCCTTGCTAGAGCCCACGGGGAGCTCAAGGAGATGTTCTTGGGTTCAGTGAGCTGAGGAAATGGAGATCGGAATTCAGAGCAGCTACGGCGGCTGCACTGTGCAGGACAGAGTACCAGATATGCAGCAGCTGAGCAGAGGAGGAGTCTGGACAGCATCTTGAGTCTCTGACCAGCTCAAGCTGTGCATGTTCAGGACATGACTTGGTAAGGCTGGGCAAAAAGCACCACCTTCTCTGCATGGAATGGAGACTTCAGAACTCCCCCAAGGCCGGGAGACATGGAGGCCCACCTATGCAGAATGGGGTGCCCCCATTGAGCACCCTGGGCCCTTTGGTGATGCCCAGTAAGGTCAGAGCCTCACATAAAACCTGAGCCATAGAGCTCCCAAGAGAAAGCAGCAGAGTGCCCACTTGATAGAGATCACTGAGGACCCAGGAAATACCATAAAGGGGAAAATGGGCAGCTTGGACCTCGTCAAAACCTAAAACTTCCAGGAGTGCGTGGGTGTCTCAGTCGGTTAAGTGTCTGACTCTTGATTTTGACTCAAGTCATGATCTCATGGTTTGTGAGATTGAGCCTGAGTCTGACTCTATACTGAGAGATACTTCTGTCTCCTTCCTGCTCCTCACTCTCTCTGTGTCTGTCTCTCAAAATAAACAAACAAACATAAAAACCCAAAAAACAAAAATACACACAAAACCCCCTAAAACATCTGCTTCTCAAAAGGTGCCATTAGCAGAATGAAAAAGCTGTCCAGAACCAGAAGACACCCACGGTGGGTCTTTGTGGCAGCAGCTGCATCCCAGGATCCACGACAGCCCCTCCCACTCGGAATACGAGGGCAGACACGCCGATTTTTAAGGGGGCAGAGACGTGTGCAGGTACCGATTTCGTAGTGAAGTTTATAAACGGCCAGTGCACGCACGAAAATGCTCAACTTCCGTAGTCTCAGGGACACGTGAGCTGGAACCACGAGGCTCTGTCACCCTACAGCCACCACGGTGGGTCACGTTAAAACGACCGACAGGGCTGGGTGTCCTCAGGCCGCGGAGCAAGCGGAACCCTAGTCTGCTGCTGAAACAAGCACTTTGGAAATCAGCCCAGCGGGTCCTCCCGAAGCCACGCGCACCTAATTACCCCGGAACCCCACTCGCCGATGTTTCCGTAAAAGAAACGAAAACACGTATACGCTAAAACACTTCGGGGAGAATGTCCGTAGCAGCTTTGTTCCTAACAGCCAACACTTAGAAGTAACCCCAGTAGCGTCAGTGAGAGATTGAATAGACACAATGAGGTATTTTCACCTGTTCTTGGTACCTAACAACATGGCAAACCTCAGAAGCATTATGCTGAGCGAAAGAAGCCCAACACCAACACACGTAGACCGTAGGGAGACCATTCGTATGAGGCTCTAGAATAGGCAAAACGAATCCAGGGTTTAAAAGGTGGTGGCGGGGGCGCCTGGGGGGCTCAGTCGGTTAAGTGTCCGACTGTTATGCCCAGATCGCGAGAACCCCAAAGACCACCAAGGAGCCGATTCTGATGCAAGAACACGAGGGTCTTTATTCAAGCTTGAGCAGGGACTCCAACGCACCCCGACGCAGCGGTGACGGCATGGAGCCCCAAACTCAGGGTCGCGGGGCTTTTATTGCGGTTACAGTGGAATTTGGGGCGTTCCAGCTTGGCAGCCTCCTGATAGGTTGATTTTTGGTACAGGCTGTCTTGTCAGTACCCCATTGGTTCGGCCCATCTGGCCTGACCGCAAACTGCCAACCGGACAGTCTTGGGACGCAGGCACCTCTTTTAAACTGACTCTGGCTGTTGCTGTTGCTAGGGAAGTAACTAAGGGCAGGCTGCTGAGTACTTCCTGCGGTTTTTCCTGGGACTGGGTTCGGGCCCAGTTCACCCTCAAAATGGAGGCTTTTTCTAAAATGGAGTCAGTTAGATTTAGGTCTCACACGACTTCGGCTCAGGTCATGATCTCACAGTCTGTGGGTTTGAGCCCCGCGTCGGGCTCTGTGCTGGCAGCTCAGAGCCTGGAGCTGTTTCAGATTCTGTATCTCCCTCTCTCTCTGGCCCTCCCCTGCTCTCTCTCTCTCTCTCTCTCTCTCAGAAATAAATAGAACATTTAAAAAAGTTATAAAGAGGGGCACCTGGGTGGCTCAGTCGGTTAAGCGTCCGACTTCGGCTCAGGTCATAATCTCATGGTTCGTGGGTTAGAGCCCTGCATCGGACTCTGTGCTGACAGCTAGCCAGAGCCTGGAGCCTGCTTCTGATTCTGTATCTCCTCACTCTGACTGCCCCCTGCTCACACTGCCTCTGTCTCTGTCTCTCTCTCTCAGAAATAAATACAACATTAAAAAAATTTTTTTTTAAATTATAAAGAAAAAGAAAACGTGGTTGCGACAGTGAGGAGTCGTGGGGATTGACCGCGACAGGGCACCTGGGCACATTCTGGGGTGATGGAAATGTCCTGTGTCCTGATGGGTAGATGCAGTGGTTAACCCACAATGTGTTGAAACAGCCATCTGCACGCCTTAAAATCTACGTATTACACTTTCCTGTAACCGATGCTTCACCCTGGCTACACACATGAATCTTGGGGGGGAGTTTGAGAAAATACTGATAGCGGGGTTGCCTCATGGAAATTGCGATGGAGATAATCTGGGGAAAAGTCTGGGCGTTAGGAACTTTGAAAACTCTCTGGGTGGTTCTCACGCACGGCCAAGGTTGAAAACTGCTCTGTTGAAACTTGCTGAATTCTGGCCTTAGGCGTGTGCACCAAATTGGGGGTGGGGGGGGGGCGAGAGCCAGTCCTACGGAGGCTTGCTGGCTGGAATTTTAGCAAGCGGAGAACTGTTTGGGTTAGTAAAGTGGGCGTGGATCGGTATAACTGGAAAGGCCAGAATTGGTGTTGATCAATTATTCTTTGGTGTCATGAACATGCTACCTAAATAAAAACTACCATCTTCTCAAATGCTTTGTCAGTTGTAACATGGCAGTTAAGGTATTAACATTGCTGTGCTCTTTGACTATTGTTTACACAGTGTCTGGTGGATTCTTGATACTTAAGGAGAGAATTCCTTAACGAGGCCCAGATACTTGTCCTTGTAGTGTTCTCCGCGGCCAGTTGGACTTGCTCTGAACCCTCTTTCTGCAGTCCGTTCTGCTTGGTGTCTTTTCCTGCTTGGCTTGCAGCTTTTTTCTTTTTCATTCTTTTAAATGTCGTTGCCTTTGCTACTACTGTCACTTTCTTAAATTGCAGAGGTTAGGTTTAAAGTTTAAGATAAGGAGAAAACAGCTACGGTCACAAAATAGAATTTTCCTTGGTTAAAGGACCCACTTCTGCTCCCTGAGCTGTTTCTCCAGTAGGTGACGGGTTTTGGCAAATGAGTGAGAAAGTTGATGTTTTCACACTCCTCCCCGTGGCCGGCGCTGTGCAGGAGGTTAAGGCTGTAGTTGGTGACTCTATAGCGCTTTCTCTTCTGCGGACAGTTAATGTCCCTGGCTTCATTGACACCCATATGTGACTCACCGTTAATCTGCCAAGACACTGGGGGGCCAGCAGGGGACCAAGAGTAAACTCCAGAGCTGTCCTAAAGCCCCTGCGGAAACTCCTCCGAGTCCCCAACGCCCGAGGAGAACGCAGGCCACCAGGCAGCTTCTTCAGACAAGGAATGGAGCTTCACTTCGGCGCCGCACTCTGCGGCAGCTCAGCCCCTGCCTCGTCCCCCTCAAACAAACACCAGTACACTCCTAAGTGAGATTTTCTCATTGTAGGTTAGCAAGTACAGTTTTTGGTTTACAGAGGTTCTTTAAAAGTGCATATACCCCTAGGAAGATTAAGACAAGACTATCAGTCATTGTAAGCTTACATAAATTTATTAAATCAAATGTTTTTTGTTATAATATCCAACTTGGAGATGGTATGCACTAAGGAAACCAGCAGCAGGGTGGGGGGCAATTTGGGAACAAGTAGGGAGACACAACTCAGCTGGGCAGAGGGGACTGGGGCAGGCACAGAACATTTTTGGTAGAGGTTCCTGGCCTCAGCTTATAGGAGAAATTCAAAGGCACGGTTTTCTTCAGTGTCATCCTTGGCTCAGATGGACGTGCCTCCCTCCTCTGGAACTGAGACCCGTATGCCTGCCTGCTGCTTCATCCAGGCTCAGGGACCCTGGGGCGACAGGGCAAGATAGTCTAGGATGTAGAGGTGAAGAAGGTGCAGGGCACGGGTGGCAAAAGGAACAAGCAACGCGATCATGCAGAGAGAGAACTTTCTGGTTGCAGCTGACCACACTTATGTGTTCCTAGCTATGGGGAGACACAGGCGCTAAGATATCCCCTGTATGTTTGCTTCAGACATCCGTATATCTGGGTCTTTCCCTAGAATGCCAGAGGGTTCAACATGAGCATCCCCATGCCTGGGCACCCAGTGAACTTCTCCAGTGTGACCCTGGAGCAGGCCCGCAAAGATGTGGAGCAGCTGGAGCAGCTCATTGAAAGCCACGACGTCGTGTTCCTGCTGATGGACACCAGGGAGAGCCGGTGGCTCCCTGCCGTCATTGCCGCGAGCAAGAGAAAGGTAGAGTGTGGGTGCCGGGCAGCTCAGTCGGTTAGGAGCGGCCGACTTCAGCTCAGGTCATGATCTCGCAGTTCGTGGGTTCGAGCCCTGTGTCGAGCTCTGTGCTGACAGCTGGGAGCCTGGAGCCTTCTTTGGATTCTGTGTCTCCCTCTCTCTCTGCCTCTCCCCAACTCATGCTCTGTCTCTCTCTGTCTCAAAAATAAATGAACATTAAAAAAAATTAAAAAAAAAAAAAAAGAAAAGAAAGGTAGAGTGTGTGGGTCCTGGGCTCTTGTGTCCGGTTGAGACTTCATGTACCATCACCCTGGAGGGAGAAGCGTCCTCTGTCTGCCTTCCCTCCAGAAGAGAGATGTGCTGTGTGTGGCCTAGGGACATGGTGACAAAGGGCTTCCACTGGTACATGCGGTCTTTGCCTCACGAGCCACCATCTGGTGTAATAGTTATTCTTTACTATTTAATTTTCATAGAAACCTTTTAAGATACTGTATCTCAGAGGGTTATTCTACTTACATTAAAACATAAGCTCAAGAGGACAAAGATTGTCATTTACCATTTGGTCAGTGACACCTTCAAGGGCCAACAGCAGTGACTGGCTAAATAAATCCTAGTGCATTAATGTGCTGGAGTAATATGCAGCCATGCACAACATGTTTTCAAAAAGGTTAATAACATGGAAAATACCACATTATGTTAAATAAGCAAGGTACGATATTGTATACATTTAAGATAAATTGTTTATATCTGTAAACACATAAACATTTGAATCTGTTTCGGCGAGGAGACGAGGAGGTGGGGAGGGGAGGCAAGAAGGGAGAAGGGGTAGGAAGGAAAGAGAGAAAGGGAGAAAACAACAAGAAGAAATGCCCCAAATTATTTGTAATAAGTGTTTGAGCCATGAGATGGTGAATTATTTTTGTGGGTTTTTTCCCCCTATTGTTGTTTCCTTTCTTTTCCAGCTTTCTTTATAACCAGGAATTTGGGAGAATAAGTTACAAGTAAGAGAAGTTCTTCTAGTGTAAATGAGAAAACAGTTGTCCATAAAAATCTGTGTGAAGGTTGAATTGTGTAGTGTGCGAATTATATCTCCATGAAGCTATTATAAAAAAAAAAAATCTATGTAGGTGTGTCAATCGCATAATGGCGGAAAGAAAGAGGTTGAGAGCTCTCTAGACTTGGATTTATACATTTACCTCTTACCAGCTAAGTGACGGAGGGCATGTTAAAGAAGTAACTGCTCTTTTAGCCTCCTCAGCTGCAAATAGGAAATGTGTGCTGGGAGTTTTAAATGAAACCAAATGAGATAATTATTGTTAATTACTGGTCAAGTGTTTTGCACTTAATAAACCCTCAGTGTTGCATAGCTTTTACTAACACTGGCTTCTAGACTCTAATTATACTCAGATGCAACTACTTATAAAATGCATTTTAAAAGTTGACCAAATATGAAATTAGCCATGGTTTAAAGTAGAAGTGTCTCTTAACTCCAGCCTTTTGAAACCCACAGCTGGTCATCAATGCTGCCTTGGGATTTGACACATTTGTTGTCATGAGGCACGGCTTGAAGAAACCGAAGCAGCAGGGAGCCGGGGACTTGTGTCCTGGGCACCATGTGGCACCTGCCGACCTCCTGGGCTCCTCGCTCTTTGCCAACATCCCTGGCTACAAACTTGGCTGCTATTTCTGCAATGACGTGGTGGCCCCAGGAGATGTAAGTGGATTTCTCTGTGCTTCCAAATATTGCCTACAACTGTCTCATCCACTGGGGCAAAGAGGCCCAACTCTCTTTGATGACTATTTGAATAGTCATAAATAGTTAAATGTCTTTTAACAAAGGGAAGAATTCTCCAATGGGGGTGACATCATCCCACTCTGAGCCTTGATTGGCGTCATCAGCTGTGCCCAGCTCTTCCTTGTTCACCAACATAAACGCAGTGACCAACCATTTTGGTAGAAAGCTCAGCCGGGAAACTGTAGGACAGACTGGTCCCTGGCAGCTCTCAGCACCGTCTCCTTTGAAGAGAGCATTAAGCGAGGGGTCCGAAGACCCAGGCTTTCCAACCCAGGCTTGGACGCTGCCTCGCGGGGTGATTCCAAATAAGGCTCTGACGCTTTCTGTGCTTCTGCAGAATGGAGCTGGGCCCCTTAGAAGGTTGTCGGATTTAGCAAGTGAAAATATACAGGGTTCCCAGTTAACTTGGAATTTCAGGTAAAAAATATTTTAATATAAATTTGTCCCATGCTCATACTAAAAAATTATTTGTTGTCTATCTGAAGTTCCAGTTTATTCGGGCATCTTGTATTTTATCTGCCAACCCCAGTAGGAGAGGGAAGAGTACTTTTCCCTGACCACTCATAGTGTGAGGTGAGCCAAAAGTGAAAGTGCTCTGAACAGTAAGCAGCACACGGTTCAAAGGTAAGATTCTGCGGTGTTAGGGCCCCACACAAGGCACAGTCTGTGGGAATGATCTCCTATCAGAACAATCGTTTCTTTTTTTCTTTTTCTTAAATAGTTTATTGTCAAGTTGGTTTCCATATAACACCCAGTGCTCATCCCCACAAGTGCCCTCCTCCATGCCCATCACCCCCCCTTCCCCTACCCCGCCCCCCCATCAGCCCTCAGTTTGTTCTCAGCGTTCAAGAGTCTCTCATGGTTTGCCTCCCTCCCTCTCCCAAACTATTTTTCCCCTTCTCCTCCCCCATGGTCCTCTGTTAAGTTCCTCCTAAACCACCTATATGTGCAAACATATGGTATTTGTCCTTCTCTGCCTGACTTATTTCGCTCAGCATAACACCCTCAAGGTCCATCCATGTTGCTACACATGGCCAGATTTCATTCTTTCTCATTGCCATGTAGTATTCCATCGTATAGATAAACCACATCTTCTTGATCCATTCGTCCGTTGATGGACACTTAGGCTCTTTCCATGATTTGGCTATTGTTGAAAGTGCTGCTGTGAACATTGGGGTCCATGTACCCCTATGCATCAGCACTCCTGGATCCCTTGGGTAAATTCCTAGCAATGCTACTGCTGAGTCATAGGGGAGTTCTATCGTTAATTAAAAAAAAATTTTTTTTAATGTTTTATTTATTTCTGAGAGAGGGAGAGAGACAGTGCGAGCAGGGGAGGGTCAGAGAGAGAGGGAGACACAGAATCTGAAGCAGGTTCCAGGCTCCAAGCTAGCTGTCAGCACAGAGCCCAATGCAGGGCCCAATCCCACGAAATGTGAGACCATGACCTGAGCCAAAGTTGGACGCCTAACCGACTGAGCCACCCAGGTGCCCCTATTGTTAATTTTTTGAGGAACCTCCACGCTGTTTTCCAGCGGGGCTGCACCAGTTTACATTCCCACCAACAGTGTAGGAGGGTTCCCGATTCTCCCCATCCTCACCAGCATCTGTAGTCTCCTGATTCAGAACAATCGTTTCCAGTGAAACAGAGCATAGGTATTCCTCCCCCTCCTCATCTGCCCCTTCTTTTAAAATTTGGTCCTGAATAACTCCTACCACTTTTGGATGACTGGTTTTTGTGGCCTCCCAGTGTAAAGAAAAAAAAATGGATATTTTTCATGTGAAGAAGGCTGACTTTATGATCTTCAGGATTTATGGGTCCATGGGAGTAAAGTCATATCTGTTCGTGAGGTGAAAATTTCAGAGTCAAAACTATCCCTAACAACCTCTTAATTTGCCTAAAGAATTTCTTTGGTTGCACTAATGAAAGCTTGTGTTTGGAGGCACGTTGTAGCAAAAACACTTGTATTTCATCCCAGGGATCAGAGTCAGAGGGACACGATGCCCACACTGAGAGAGACCCACGGGAACTGAGGGCTGCAAGAAAGGCACATTGTTGTCCCAGTTCACAGGCGCTCTGGGGCATTGGCTCAGGTCGAGTGTCAGGGCAGAGTCACTTGTACTGTTCAAATGATTATTCCTCTTCGCGTCTGTTCCTCAGCTATCAAGCACAGTAGGACTGACTTTGAATCCGTTGAAAGAGCACATGGTGCAACTCCATATATGAGGCAGTTAGATCTCTCATCTTTAATTATTCATAACCATTACTCCTTTTTAGCATATTACCTCATGTAGTTACTGAAGTTGTGTACTTTGTTTTTCTTGGTACTTACAAGAGATGATGTTATTGGAGGCTGGATGTTCTGTGCTCGCAGTGAGTGAGTGTCTGGTTATGTTGCATAGCTTTATCTTGGAGGAGTTTCTTGCTTGAAACAGCAAGAGCTGAGTGGACTAGAACTCTGAGCACATACCAATGATTCTTTTCCTGTAGTCGACCCGAGACCGGACCCTGGACCAGCAGTGCACTGTGAGTCGCCCAGGACTGGCCATGATTGCAGGAGCCCTGGCAGTGGAGTTGATGGTCTCTGTGTTACAGCATCCAGAAGGGTGAGTTTACTGTTTAGAGACAGTTATTTCAACAAAGAAAGCCTTCATGTCTCCCTTGGCATTTTCTCAGCGTGGCTCTTCTGAGAATTGTTGCTCTTTCTGTCCTCACAAACACAAGGCTGAAAAACCTGGTCTGATTCTGTGGCCGGTGGGGGGGTGGGGTGGGGGGGTGGGGAGGAGCTTGTCACATGATCTTTGGGGCTACATCTCTGCATCCTTCTGGAATCCAACTCTCCTGGAGTTATTTGGTAACTGATGATAAGGAAGAATAAATGTTTTGGTGAGGGCCTTCGGGGCCATCACGCTTCTTTCTGTTAGTAGATTTTAATCTTCTTAGCCCTGAATGTTTTGTGAGGCAATGCATGAGTCCCATGTGATAGAAATTGCATTGGGCTGTATGTGACGTGGCCAAATGGGACTTGATTTTGCTTATGCAGCAAGAAGTCTAGAGGCAGACAGTCTGTGGCTGCTACAGTGGCTTTTGTTATGTCATGGACTCAAGTTCCTTCTTATCATTCACTCAGCCGCCCTTAGCTCTCTTCCTTATGCTTGTCCCCTGTGGCCTCCAGATGACTGCTTCACGTCCAGTGTTGCTTCTGTGTTAAAGTGAGGAACGCGTGTTAACTCAGCTGAGGGGTCCCCCTTTTTAAAGAACTTTCCTGCATTGTGTTGGAAGAATAAATATTGTTAAGATGTCATTACAACCCAAAGCAGTCTACACCTTCAATGCAATCCCAATTGAAATGGCACCAGCATTCTTCTAAAAACTAGAACAAGCTATCCTAAAATTTGTATGGAACCACAAAAGACCCTGAATAGCCAAAGTAATATTGAAGAATAAAACCAAAATTGGAGGCATCACCATCTCAGTCTTTAGCCTCTACTACAAAGCTGTCTTCATCAAGACAGTATGGTACTGGCACAAAAACAGACACATAGACCAATGTAATAGAATAGAGAACTCAGAACTGGACCCACAAATGTATGGCCAACTAATCTTTGACAAAGCAGGGAAGGGCATCCAGTGGAAAAAAGACAGCCTCTTTAACAGATGGACAGCAACATGCAGAAGAACGAAACTAGATCATTTTCTCACACCATACAAAAAATAAACTCCAAATGCATTAAGGACATGAATGTGAGATAGGAAACCAACAAAACCCTAGAGGAGAAAGCCAGAAACAACCTCCTTGACCTCAACTGCAGCAATTTCTTACTTGACACATCCCCAAAGGCAAGGGAATTAAGAGCAAAAAATGAACTACTGGGACCTCATCAAAATTAAAAGCTTCTGCACAGCAAAGGAAACAGTCCATAAAACTAATAGACAACCGACGGAATAGGAAAAGATAGTTGCAAATGCCATATCAGATAAAGGGCTAGTATCCAAAATCTATAAGGAACTCACCAAACTCCACACCCGAAAAACAAACAATCCAGTGAAGAAATGGGCAGAAGGCATGAACAGACACTTCTCCAGAGAGGACATCCAGATGGCCAACAGATACATGAAACGATGCTCAGCATCCCTCCTCATCAGGGAAATACAAATCAAAACCACACTGAGATACCACCTCACGTCGGTCAGAGTGGCTAAAATGAACAAATCAGGAGACTCTAGATGCTGGCAAGGATGTGGAAAAATGGGCACCCTCCTACACTGTTGGTGGGAATGTAAGCTGGTGCAACCCCTCTGGAAAACGGTATGGAGGTTCCTCAAAAAATGAAAAATAGAACTCCCCTACGACCCAGCAGTAGCATTGCTAGGAATTTACCCAAGGGATCCAGGAGTGCTGATGCATAGGGGCACATGGACCCCAATGTTCACTGCGGCTCTCTCAACAAGAGCCAAAACATGGAAAGAGCCTAAGTGTCCATCAACGGACGAATGGATCAAGAAGATGTGGTTTATCTATACGATGGAATACTACATGGCAATGAGAAAGAATGAAATCTGGCCATTTGTAGCAACATGGATGGACCTTGAGGGTGTTATGCTGAGCGAAATAAGTCAGGCAGAGAAGGACAAATACCCTATGTTTGCATGTATAAGAGGATTAGGAGGAACTTAATCGAGGACCATGGGGGAGAAGAGGGGGGAAAATAGTTTGGGAGAGGGAGGGAGGCAAACCATGAGAGACTCTTGAATGCCGAGAACAAACTAAGGGTAGATGGGGTGAGGGGGGAGGGGAGTGATAGGCATGGAGGAGGGCACTTGTGGGGATGAGCACTGGGTGTTATATGGAAACCAACTTGACAATAAACTATTTAAGGAAAAAAATAAAAAATAAAAAAATAAAAAAAATAAATAACGAGCTTTCCTGGAAGATTCGCCTATTAATTCTAACCCCTGTATCACACAGCCACCCTTCACTGCAGGCAAGACTGACAAATAAAGTTGTTTTGTTTGGGCATATTACTTCTCCAGAAAAAAAGCTGTGATAACATAGACATGGAGAAAGGGGTGTTGGGAAGGCAAATAGCAGTGTCTGCACATTCATTTTTTAATATTATGCATAGATTTTAAACCCCAGGAGAGATTGTTATATAGTTGGTATTCATCATGTTTGACTAACGTTTTCCTTTTTTATTACTTTTCATCCCCTTCTGTATCTTTGAGTTTCCAGCCAAGGGTATTTATTCTATTGCCAGAAGAATGCCCTTTATTGTTTCCTTTAGGAATGCTAATAACAAGATACTTCAATTTTCATCAGTCCAAAAATGTCTTTATCTTCATACTTGGAAGACATTTTTGCTGGGTATAGAATTCTAGATTGGTGATACTTTTCCTTTAGCGGATTGAGAGTATAATCCTAGTGTCTCTGGCTGCTTTTATTGTTGAGAAGTTGGGTGTTTATCTCCCTGCTTCTCTTTTGATACAGTTTGTTCTCTCCCTCTATCCCTGCCCTTAGTTGCTTTTAAGGTTTTCTCATTGCCTTTGGTCTTCAGAAGTTGGATGTATTTATTCCAGTTGTGTTCTCTAGTGCTTCTTGGATGCATGGCTCGATGCTTTTCATTTGTCATGCAAAATTCTCAGCCATTGTCTCTGTAAGATTCGGCTTCTGTCCCCTTTCTGTTTTCTTTCCTTTTGAGCCTTTGGTTACATGTCCAAATCAACCTATGCCCTTTTCTGTATTTTCCAGGACTTTGTCTTTCCTGGCTTTAGTCTGCCCATTTGCTTTTGGCTCATCTTCCCAGTTTGCTAATTCTTATTTCTTCTGTATCTAATGTATGTCAGGCCATCCACTGAGTTTTTTATTTAATTATTTTATGTTTCAGTTTTAAAATTCCCATTTGATCTTATTTTATATTTCCTGATCTCTGCTAAAATTGTGACTTTGATCTTTTCATTACTTGAAAACATTTAATTATGTTTTTCTTTTTAAGTCCTTAATCAGAGGCCTCCACTATCTGGGTCTCCTGTAAGTCTGTGCCTCTTGTCTATTGGCTTTGGGGTTGTCTGTTTTTGGCTTTTGGTTATGTATCATCTCCTCCAGTACCTGATATTTTTTCTTTTATTTTTTTTTAAACAAAACTTTTGTATTATGGTGAATTCAAACATCCATGAAAGAAAAAACATATAGAAAATAATAAACCCCATTGTATATACCACCCAGCCTCAACAGTTTCCAATGTATGTCCAGGCATCATTTACTTACACACCTCTCCACATGCTCTCTCTTCCCACTGGCTTGTTTTAAAGCAAATCCAAGACATAGCATTTCATTCATTAAAATGTATGTTTTTAGTATGTATCCCTACTATTTTACATATAAAGACGAAAGTAATTCCTTCATATTACCTTATATCCAATTAGCTTTTAATTTACCTCAGTTTTTCGAATCTGCTTGCTGCTGCTGGTGGTGGTGGTGGTGGTGGTGGTGATTATTATTATTATTATTATTCTGCTTGGTTATTTTTGAATGACTACTGGATATTTTATATGAAAAATTACAGAGATGATGTGATTTACATTTCCTTCTGGCAAACTGCTGGGCAAAGTGGATTAGTAGTGCTAGAACTAGAATTAGGTCTCCTCCATTTCTGATTCATTCTGATCCCTAGGATGTAGCCCACCTTGGTCCCAGCCCAAAGCCTGGCATGTTTTCCATAATTCCTCCTTATCGTCAGACCTCAAGCGCTAGTGTTGCCTTCTGGTGCATTTGTCTGTTGGTATAACTTCAGCCTCTGATCCTATAGCCACTTCTTTTGAAGGTTGGCAATCACTTCATGACAGGAAGCTCCCCTTGCAAATGCCTTGTTGACCTCTGTGGGCCTCTCTCATCTCACACATCTCGGCTCTGCTGTCCTTCCCGCCCTGGTAGCTACCATGCTTCCTTGCCGTGTCTAGTTTTCGGTTTGTTTTCAGTGGAGGGTTGGTTGTGATAAACTGGTCTACCAATGCCATACCAATTTTTTTTAAATGTCATTTTTAAATTTATTAAGCACTTATAGTGTACTAAGCTTGCATGTGAGCATAGAGAAATGAGCAGGCTGGTGTGTTTTGTTTCAACTTGACCTTGGCTTTTTAGTAGTTTGTTTACTATACTGTGTATATGTTATATTAAAGATATAAAACTTGCCCAGTTATGATCTGCCCCAAGCAAGAAGACCTTGCTTTATGGCCTACAAACAGAAGATTCATCTTGTAATAAATAGAAGTCAGACAACATTAAATTAATTTAAAAAATGGGATCAGTAGTTTTTTTAAGGTTTATTTATTTTTGAGAGAGAGAGAGAGAAAGAGAGAATGGGGGAGGGGCAGAGAGAGAGGGAGACACAGAATCTGAAACAGGCTCCAGATGGCTCTGAGCTGTCAGCAGAGAGCCTGACATGGGCCTTGAACTCAGGAACCATGAGATCATGACCTGAGCCGAAGTCAGACCCTTAACCAACTGAGCCACCCAGGTGCCTCAAGTCAGTAATTTTAAGAAGGGAAGAAAGGAAAGAAAAGACGAGAAAGGGTTGGGGGGGAAGAAAAGGAAAGGAAACAAAGCAAAAAGAAAATAAATGATTAAACAGTAGAACATTCTCTCAGTAACTGTCTAAGGCCCTGCTGCTGAGGGTCAGCGAGTGAAGGCTCGCTGAAGTCAGAAAGATGTTCACACCTGCCTCTCTGACAAATACACTGTCATTTATGTTTGTCAGATACTCATATAGTGCTTGCCTCGTTCTAGGTGCCATTCCAGTCGCTTTGCAGAAGGAACTGACTTAATCCTTATAGCAAACCTATTAGGAAAGCACTATTACCTGTCTCATTTTTGATGGGAAAATTGAGGCACAGGGAGGTTAAGTTGGTGGCACTCACATAGCTGGTAAGTGGTAAAACTGGCCTTTCACTCAACCAGTTTGGCTCCAAACTCTGTTTTTAATCACCCTGCTACATTGTAGGCAGGAGAGAATTGAATTTTCAAAAGATTTGTTTTTCCAATTCTCAGAAATTAACTTGAATATTCTATTTATTTTATGACTTGAGGTTTTTTTTTTCTATGACTCGATTTTTTTGTTTTTTACTTACCAATCGTAAAGGTGACCTCTGTACAGTGTTGGTGGCTTAGGTAGCTAGTCTGAGTACAACAGAGTTAAATGAAAATAAGCAACTTTTTTTTTTTTTTTTTACTTCCACCCTTCTCTGTCATGCCCTTGGGCTACCCCTGCCTTCTAAGTGTCGTGTGGCCTCCTGACAGGGCATATCTGGGACAAAATCTTGAAAAGACAGGGCGCCTGGGTAGCTCAGTCGGTTGAGCGTCCGACTTCGGCTCAGGTCATGATCTCGCAGTCAGTGGGTTCGAGCCCCGCGTCGGGCTCTGTGCTGACAGTTCGGAGTCGGGACCCTCCCTCAGATTCTGTGTCTCTCTGTCTGCCCCTCCCTGCTCACGCTCTGTCTCTCTCAAAAATAAGTGAACATTAAAAAAAAAAAGAGATCTTGGAGAGATGATTCCACGATTCCCTGACGCAGACCCCTCTGTGTGGTGTTCACCCTGGTTGTAGGCCAGAACAGGGTCCTATGTCCCGTGTCTTCTGTATCGTATGGAAACATCTCACTGTCCTTCTGGAAGGAGTGCATTGGTTCTCCCGCCCATTTAGTCCCTCACTGTTCTGTCTCCTTCCTCCACAGCAGCATTCACATCACCTCAAGAAGGTAAGGTGGGCAAGTTTTCCATTTCAGAATTCCGGTACCAAAAGGTGCCGTGGTTTTTTATAAGACTATCTCAGAGTAAGGGACTTAATCTTAATCGGCTTATCATATGCCAGGCATTGCACTGGGCAGTTTATCCAACTTATTCCTAATTTAGTCCTCATAACGGTCTCGTTCCTATTTTATAGTTAGTGTAGTTATGGGCCCAGAGCACAGAGAGGTTAAGCAGCTTGTCTGTGGTCACAAGCTCTGCCTTTCTGACTCCAAACTTCAGGCTTTTTTATTTCCCTCTCCCCTCTTCCTCCTTCCCTCTAACAGAAATTAGGTTTTTGTTGGCTTGTGCTGCCTAGGAAAGGGCATTTTGGGTTATCCTTATAAATCTTACACCCACCTCCTCTCTTCTCCATGGCCAGATCGTCGTCACAGGTATGAAACATAAACTTTCACTAAACAGGCAGCTCTAACTGTTGTCTTTTCTCAGGGGCTATGCCATTGCCAGCAGCAGTGATGACCGCATGAATGAGCCGCCAACCTCCCTCGGCCTTGTGCCCCACCAGGTGAGTGATTTGGAAATGAAGTCATAATTCAGGCCCTGGCCACAGAGGGAATGCCTTTGGGTCACTTTGTCGTGCCACCAGCTCGGCCCACCGCTTTTCCTCCCTCCTGCTCCTCCAGCGGCTGTGGAGTTTCAGTGGGTGCTCTTTAAGACCACCCACGAGGTATCCCATCCTGCGGGATGGCGATGAGAATTCACCAACAAGCAGCATCACCCAGAGTCGTTGGTGCATTTAGCATGTTGACCAAAGGTTGTGATCATAATGAGGAGCAAGGACCGACTTTGGAAGTGGCCCGATGGCAGTTTGGATCCCAACCCTGTAGTTACTAAGACGGCCTTCCTTGGCCAAATCCCCAACGTTGTCTGGGCCCCAGTTTTCCCGTGTATGAAATGGAGACAGTCATGCTGACCTCATGTGGTCGTTGCAGAGACCAGAGGTGACCCGTGCCGAGGGCTCAGCAGTGGCGCCTGGTCTGTCACAGGCCTCAGTGAAGGGTGCTTGCTACTTTGGTGGCTGTGGTTTCTCACTGTTATTGACTCCCTAGCTACATGAAAAGCCTTGTGGGTGTGCATGGGAAGTGTCAAAAAATAGGGTTTCTGTTCAGGAAAAGAATCTGAAGCATCATGAAAGGAGATGCATCGTATGGAGAAGGAAAGAGACAGAAAGTAGTGGAATGGAAACTCAAATTCATGTTGCCTCTTCAGCAGTTTCTGTGACCGTGTTTTTGGAGGAATGAAGGCGTTTTCCAATCTCACTGTTTGGAAGTCGTTTCTCTAGGTGCCATGTGTGTATTTCATTGGGTCCCCCGAGAAGGGGTGACGGCACCCACAGCCATCAGGGGTCTCACACGGTCTCATGGTCGTGAGGACAGGCGCATGGCTGAGGGCGAGAGCAGCCCACGCCCGCCTCAGCCTGCCTCCCCACCCCTGCCTCCTGTCCTCCAGGACAAGCCTGTCATTTTCCGGTTGAGGATTTGAATCAGAAGAGAGGACGTAATTTGCCCACAGTCACAGAGACAGGTAGCGGGTGAGCCAAACCCCAAACCTAAACTTGCACTTCTACCGGGGTTCTTTGTGAGGGTTCTTCCTCGGCCTGCCCGACGGGAGTGTTGCCTTCAGGTCGCTACTCCAGCCTAAGTCGCCCATCAGACACCTTGTCTTAGGTCAGTGACCTCCCCGAGCTTCAGTTTCCATATCAGTAGAAGCAAGTGCCTCACCTCATGTCCAGGATTTTGTCTGTGATGGGGCTGTGTAAGCCCTCAAACAGTGCAAGTGTGGCATTTCCAGTCTGCCTCGCACAAGGCGGCATTTCCTTGACAGGAATGTGTTAATCTTTCTAGAGAAACATTTTGGGCGGGACCCGAATGTAATAACCTTCCATCTTAATAAAGAAGCTTCCCTCCAGAGCTGACCTCTACTCTTGATGCTCTTGAATCTCCTTCAGATCCCCGCCCACTTCCCCTCTTCACACGTCTCTAGTTCCTTTCTTCTGACCTTGAGATGTGCCTTCGTCTCCTTTACAGATTTCATTATGAGAAGGTCCTTAATTAAATTTTCAGTCATGCCCCTGCACTTCTTTCCTTCTTTAAGTCCTTTATGTTAAATCACGGAGGTTGTAGTTTTCTCAGTGATGAGGCCAGAGGGCAAAACAGCTCCTTTATTGAAGGGGTCCAGCGTCAAAATGCATGTGCCCGTGTTTTTAAAGTACTATGGCAACTAATCCCTCTCAGTGTCATTTACCCCCATTGAGCCTCACAATTGTTTGTCGTTCACCAACTCTTCTAGTTCTTTCTCCTCGTTTTCAAACGTCTGGAGGATTATTTTGGTTGTTGGCCATCTCTTCATTTGTTCTTTTCAAAGGCTGAAGAATAACCCAGCCATATATGGGAAAAGCCCAGCGCTTGTCTGTGATTAGTTGCTTACATTATTTCAAGTTTCAAGCCTTTATTTTTAGCTACTATCTAAAAAAGACAGTGGAGAAAGAACTTTAAAATTAATCGGGGGTGTGTGGTTCCTATTTATAGGCTTTAAATTTCTTCTTCTTCTTCTTCTTTTTTTTTTTTTAAGTGGAGTAAGTCCGTTTATGCAACTGTTTTGATTAGGAGAACATCGTTTCCACAAAAACACCGGGCTGTGTTGCAATGCCCTGCTGCACACTCAGCGCTTCCCTCCTCCTTTTCCTGGCTCTCCACATTTCCCCTTGGACGGGGACTTGGTAAACCCCTTCTGTGTGCTTCACTTACAAAGAACAACCCATGAGTTCCCTGGGCTCCTTCTTCTGTCCCCCCAAAGGAGAGCGTGTGTTAATTGGCCCCTGCGGAAGGAGCTATAGTAGAAAAGTGATAGCCCTTGGACAGGAATCACAAGGTCCCCCACCAGCAGCTCGCTGTGTAATCTGGAGAAAGTTGCTTCACTTAGCCTGTGGGCTCTGTGTCTCCACTCTCATCAGCCCGGGGAGGCCTGAGGATTACTTAGTGAAGCTGCCCGTGGGACCACAGGCAGAATTTGGCCCAGCCAGAGATTGGCCAAATACAGGAGAAGGCTTGATTAGTCCCTGACATTCAGTGGTAGTCAGCTTGGAAAACAAACAAAACAAAACCTCTGATTGATTTTGAAAACCATGAGAAAACCATTTGAAGGTAAGAAAATAGGCTTATGGGTTTATTCTTTTTTACTTTTTTTTTTTTTTGACATTTATTTATTTTTGAGAGAGCACAAGTGGGTGAGGGGCAGAGAGAGAAGGAGACACAAAATCTGAATCAGGCCCCAGCTCCGAGCGGTCAGCCCAAAGCCTGACGCGGGGCTCAGACTCACAAACTGTGAGATCATGATCTGAGCTGAAGTCGGATGCTTAACCAACTGAGCCCCCCAGGCGCCCCGAGGGTTTATTCTTTTTTAAAAGTGTCTGGCCCAGTGTACACGGACCGGATTCTGCACGCAGCCAGCAGTAAGTGTCGCCTTCTTCCTGTCTGTAAAGACAATGATTTGGGTAGTTTAGATCATCATTTTATTGATGTATAAAATGCATCAAACTCACACAAATCATTAAGGATATAACTCAGATTATCTCAAAGTCAGCACTATTTATGTACCCAGCACACAGATCAAAATAAAGTTATCCAGCATCCCCAAAGTCCCCTTCAGGCTTCTTCCGCTTATTATTTCATCCTTCCTAAACAGAGGCAAGCATCTCTTGACCCTCAACACTGTGGGAGGCCTTGGTCTAATTTTGAACTTTCTGTAAATGAAATAATATGGTATAGCGTACTCTTCGAGAGCCTGTCTTCTTTGGTAGAGAGAACATCTTTCAATGCAGATCGTAGCATAGTATTATTCCTTCTGCTCCCTGTCATGTGGGATCTTTAAAAAAAAAAAGTCTTTTCCTGGCTCCCGGTGGTAGCTGAGTTGTAAATAAAGAAAGTTATAACATGTACAAGCCGCTCCTGATATGTCCGGGAAGCTGGTTTGCAGGTTCGTGTGAGATCCTGAACGTGACAGAAATCAGCAGCCTGTGGAGCTGCTGATCATTTGACTGGACCTCGGTCAGAAAATGAAAAACAAGGAGGCAGTCTGACAGTGCTCCAGCCAGTGCGGCCGTTAATAGAGCGGCCAGCTCTCATCCCACTTGTGGCCCGGGCAGCTCACATGTTTTTGTCTTTGGGTGAATGTCCTCTTGGCTCTCAAAGTACTGATGAATAAAGACCCTGACTGTGTATGCCCTGCCTAGGGGTTTGGACTTGCCAACCCCACTGTTCTCGGGGGCTCTTGAATTCTTTCTTTTAAATACTTTTAGAAAAGCAGAACAAAGCCCAAACTAGGGCAGGACCCTGGGAGAGACCTGGCCTGGGAAACGTCTGGGACAAGTCTGATACAGAGCTGGGGTCGCTGGCCGTGCCTCGGGCCTCTCTGCACAGGCTGTGCGCCCCAAAATCCTCAGGCCTTTAGCTTTTAACAAGCTCCCTTTGCTCGGAAATGCTTATCAGCAGTGTGCCTCCTGGGATACGGACAGACTCGCTGCTGAGGAAGGAGATGAAGAAGATAAGCAAGAAAAGCCCATTTCCTGAGATGTAGCCCAAGAAAGGGAGTCTCCTTCCCCCTCTGGTTCTATACTCTTCCGGTTGATGGGAACGGGAACGGCAGGAAAAATGGTCTAAATGTCTGCTGTTTCTCCATAGCAGATGAGGCGGTCTGTGCCCTCTCCATCCTCCCAGACCCCCTTCCGCTCAACCGTTCCCGTCAGTAGACGATTTCCAGACACTGTGCCAGGCACCATGATGTTCAGAGAAGTTCAGCAGCTGGTGCCAGGTCACCCAGTGTTTATTCCTCTTTGCTTCTGGAGGCTTCTAAGGTCGTGGATATGCTCCACACCATTTGGATGTGGTAGGACCTCGTTCTGGTGGGAGGCCCCTGAATAGAAAGAGGGCTCTGGGTACAAGATCTGACAAGGTCCGCGCGCTCTGTGTGGGGCCCTAGGAAGAAGAGAGCGGTGTTGGCCTTACTTGGTACATGATGCAGGGGATGAATGACACCTGGTGCCAGAGCTCAGCTGTGTCCTAGCATCTCTGGTCCCAGAGGACTTGAGACATACATTTATCAGTTCAAGGATGTTATTTGTGCCCCAAGAGCTTCGCTCACCTGATGCGGCTGTCCTGTTAGAGAGGTCCCGTGTGGGAGGCGGCCTGAGGCGATTAGAATCCCGGGTTTGCCTCTTGATTTCATTTCAATCCATCCATTCTTTAGCTCCTTTTATAAGAGGGTTTGAGGCAGCTCTTGCCGCTTGTTACTATGTGGACTTTGTCAGGTTACCAATCATCTCTGAATTTCATATTTTATACCAGTAAAATGGGATAATCATGGGGCATCTGGGTGGCTCAGTCGGTTGAGCATCCGATTCTTGATTTTGGCTCAGGTCATGATCTCACAGTTCATGAGTTCGGGCCCCACGTTGGGCTCTATGGTGACAGTGTAGAGAGCCTGCTTGGGATTCTCTCTCCTCTCTCT